TAAATTTTATTTTCCTTCATTTAAAAAAAAAACGCTTGGAATTTTGTTAAAAAATTATTGTAATTGAGAAACAGAAGTGGTGCAAACCTTTTTTTTTACAAAAGAGAAAGAAAGAATTTTGTTCCAAAATAATTGTAAATAAAAATAGAAATTATGCACAATTTTTTCTTCTCTTTCTAAAAGAAACTCCTAATTTTGTAAAGAAAATTGTAATTGAGAAACAGAAATGATACAAATCATTTCCTTTTTTTTAAAAAAAAACGAATTTTGTTCCAAAATAATTGTGAATAAAATTAGAAATCATGCAAAAATTTTTTCTTTTTTTTTAATTTTGTGAAGAAAATTGTAATTGAGAAACAAAAAATATGCAACATTAGTATATTTTCCATTTCTTAATCTTAATTCGATTCGTCAATTACAATTTTTGTTATACAAAATTCTAACTTTCTTAACGGAAAAAAAGGATGAAAATTTGCATAATTTCTCTTCCTTAATGACAAATTGTTAATAATTTTTCAAGTTTTCCTTAATTTACTGAATTATTCTATAAATGTCTCTAATTTGTACCTCATTTTAAAATTTAAATCGTCAACGCAACAAAAATTAATTACTTTAATTAATTAATTCAATTAATTTCAGTTAATTTGATTAATTTAATTTATTTAATTAATTTTAGATAATTTAACTAATTTCACTTATTTAATTAATTTTACTTAATTTAATTAATTTAATTCATTTAATTACTTTCAGTTATTTCAACTAATTTAATTTAATTAAGTTCAGTTAATTTAACTATTTTAATTTCATTAAGTTCAGTTAATTTAATTAATTTATTTAATTAATTTCAGTTAATTTAATAATTATTAATTTCCTGAATTACTGAATTTTTATTTATTATCCGATATTTGTTAAATTCATAATAAAATAAAGAGATCCCGCTAATTAATAACTTGCAGCTATCTAAAAATCTATAAAACGTTCGAAAAAAAACCTGTTTAATAAAAATCCACTTGAATAAAAATTCTAGTGTTTGTCGAAAGCTTTTGTTTTATCTTTTCTTTTATCTTTCCGATTTTACTCGAGATGGATTTTTCCAAACATTGGAGATCCATTGTATAAATTGGAAACAAATGAATTCTGTGGAATAATATTCAAACTTTTGAAATTGTCGCCAAAAAAAAACGGTACATATACCTATTCACTAAAATAAAAATAAATTTTCAAAGATAAAAAATTTGAAATTGAAAGAATAAAGAAGTAATGAATGCGATTTTTGAAAAAATGTTCAAATGCTATTAAAAGGATTCTTGACCTGGAGAGCCCAGGAATAATCCGCCACTGTGGTTTTTCTAGCAATGAGCAAGAGAAAGAAAGAGAAATAGGGTTGAAATAAGAGGGTGAAAAAAAATTAGTGGTAGGGGAAGAAGGAAAGATATGGTATATACAATATAAAATACATATATGTATATATGTTGTTGAGTAAGCAGAAGGACGAGAATGTACATGCACATAGCGGCATCGATCGGGTGCGCGGCTGCTGCCATAGCAGCTGACCGTTCTGCACAATTTTCTTAAAAATTTATATATATAAAGCATGAAAATATATTTAAAATTACGGTCATCGAATTCTCAATTCCAACACGTCGATCTTTTATATTAAAACGTTTTAACATCTTTCTCTCTTTCCCTCCCCCCCTCTCTCTCTCTCTCTCTTTCTCTTTCGTCTGTACACCCTTCAAACTTCCAGAAACGACGTTACCAAAGTAACGAGATAGCTTTTATCCACCCTTATCATCCATTTCTCCCACACAGTTGGATTCGACATTTCCAACAAAAGGGAAAAATAAAGAAAAAATAAAATAAATTTTTTTTCCAGTATTTTATCGATCCTTTAAATTAATATCTCTCCTTTTCGTCCCTCCACTTTCTTTCTCTTGTTCTCTCTGCATCGCTATTATTGATTTTCATTAATCGAAAAAGTAAAAAAATAAAAAAATAACGGTAAAATACCTTGTATAGAAGGAAATCCATTTATTGACATTCCATTTTTTCTTCCGTTATTTTCTCGCTCTTAATGAAGTTTGTTCTTGATTCGAAATAGAACGATGCATTTTAATTTTCTTCCTCGAGGGCGGATGCATGTTTCATTTCCCTCTCTCGTGTGTGTATACATTGATTTTTCACTATTTAGGGAAACTCAATAATTATCGCTCATTTCTCTAAATATCGGCAAATCCATAATAGCTGAAAAAAAAAACAAATGTATTTTCTATCGAAAAAGTGACCTTTTTTTCTCAAAGAAAATTTTCTCCACGAAAATTAAAATCTTATATTTAACGGTCAAAGACTCGAAAAATTTTCTTTCTTTCTTTAGACTCAAAACTTTCTTTAGGAGAGACTTTAACTACATTTTTAATTATACCAAGAAAATGATTTAAATCAGGGTGGTCACAAGTTTCAGTTTATCAATTTCCCTGATAATTTACTGAAACTCAAAATATTTTCCCCGATGACAAAATTCTTTCTACAGGAAAATAAAATACGGGAAATAAGTAAAATTAATGAAATTTAATAATTTCTAAAAATTATAATTATAACCCTTCCTGAATTAAATTATTTTCTACAATTTTCAACTAAACTTCACCTCTAAAACAATTATTTCAAATAATTTTCCAAAAAAGTTCTTCGAGAATTTAAATATTTAAATAAAAAAATTCAATTTTTTATAATAATTGTAACTTTCCATGTTTTTTTTTAATTTATTAAGGTATAATATTTTCAAAATATTATAATAAAGAAATTCTTAAAATTAATTTTTTAAAAAATATTTCTAAATAATTTTCGAAAGATAATAATAAATTTCAATTATTTACAATATTGAAAAATTTCAAAATATTTGAAAGGTAAAATCTTTTAAAAGTAAGTGAATTTTTGAAAAATATAAATAAAAATAAGTTTTGAAGAATTTTAATTATAAATATGATCATGATTTTTCCAAAATTGTAATAAGTCTAGAAATTAATAAATTTTCATAAATTTTTATTTACTTTGTTCGAAGATAATTGAATCTTAATAAATTATAAAAACACAATTCAAAGAATAAGCTTTTAAAAATATTTTAATGTAATTTCTCGAAAATAATTGAATTTTGTTGCAATATTTGGAAAAAAAGTCGAAAAAGTTGTAATTTTTGAAAATAAGTCGAAAAAAATCTCAATTTTCTAAATTTCCCTGACCAAAAAATTTTTTTTCTCTCATTTCCCTGTCAGAAAATATTATGACCCTTTTTGGATTTATATTTTTATTAAATATTGATAGTTTTTAAAATCCATCCGTAATTTTGTAGAAAATATATTTTTGTATTTCCAAAAAAATTTCCGAACGAAAAAATTCATTTTTACAATGTTTGAAGCATTTAAAAAAAAAAATTGTTTTTAGGTTGAAAATGCCTAAAAAAATCCAGTAATAAATTTTTAAATGTGGAACTTGTTCATTTTTCTAACTAATTTCAAATCATAATTTTTTTAAATGAAAAATATAAAATATAAAAAAATTACAATAATTATTATGATTAAAAATTAGAGAAATAAACAAGTGAATTTCCATATAAAAAAAATTGAATAACAATGGTATTTTTTTCAATTTCCAATTTAAAAACAATTTTTTTTCCAAAAAATGCTTCAAAAATGATAAAAATCAATTTTTTCATTCGTTATTTTTTTATAGACACAAAAACATATTTTCTACAAAATTACGCACGGATTTTAAAATCTATGAATTTTTACGAAAAATATAAATTCAAAAAGTGTCAGAATACATTCTCTACCCGATTTTATTTTCTGATCATTGATTTGCTCTTTAAAAATTACTATAAAAATAATTTTATTACAAGATTTAAATCATTTTCTTGATATATATAAAATTTTTTGTTTCCCAAGTAAAAATCAAATTACGTAATTCGTATAATGAAAGTAAAATGAGTAAAATCGTTATTGAAATATGAGTCATAAACACGATGTGGAGAAATTTTTTTTTTGAAATTTTCAAGGATTATTGGCACGATAATAATATATAGACACAAAATATACTTTTTGTTATTTTGTGATCCATGATAATCAGTCTATTCATTTTCAAAACTGACGCGTCTTTCAAATGTCTCCGCAGGTTTTCGGAAAATATTTGTGACCTAGCCCGAGGGCACTGCGATGTCAAAGAATCAGCATTTGCCAGGAATTCTGGCTCTGTGCCAAACGGTGGAAAAATCAATCCCTTAGTCTTGGTAATATGAAACCGGAGCCTGGAATAAGAGACGACTAATAAGTTAAATGCAGTCAAGAATTTTTATTTCATTTCGAGAAAATTAGCAATTATTTTCAGGTCAACGGATAATTAATTTTCAATTTACTTTATAATTACATGAAAACCTCTGTAATAAGTCCAATTTAGAAAATCCCCGTTCTTTTACCTTTCGTTTTCTTTTCTTCAAAATTGGAAAAATTATTGTTATTATTGACAGATGAGAAAATCAATTTTTAGGTTATAATTGGAAAAATTCTGTTCTATTTTGAATTTTATTGATTTTTCGTTTCAGATAATACTGTATTTTCAATACAGAAGTTCATAGAGATTGATAAAAGTTTTCCAAAGGTTTAGTTTGTGTAAAATTGATGCGTTATTTTCTATTTTATCAAAATACTACCCGGAAGTTCAAAAGTTTATCACGTTACAAATTTTTCTTTGTCAACTGATTTATCCAAACTTTCCAAAATTGTCGCTAGGCAAAAGTAGTAATTCAAAAATACGAATTTATCCAATACTGCCTTATTTTTTAACTCCTTTTTGTGTATTTGCTTCTTTTAAAAAAAAAATCAACCGTAATGAGAGGAACTGATGAAAACACGTTTCTTCATCTTCTTAAGTTCTCAAAATAATAATTTGTCGCCATCTGTCGTGAAGTACAGGAAGGTTGTCTTCAAATATTAAAGGGACAATGATGGGTCGATGAGTCAATATTTGTTTGGTGGTAAAAAGTTATGACTGTTTTACGAGAGTGGGTTCGGTAGAACAGGTAATGGCAGTGGGAGATTGTTGCACCTGTCACCTGTCTCCTACGGATTGTGCCTCCTGTGGAAAGTAATTCAGTGTTTGCGCGGGCAACGAAATGACGTGTTCGTAGTGGAGAGAATTTCTTAACAGAAAACAGGATGAGAAAACAGTCCTGCGCATTCCAAGAAACAGTATGATTATCGTTGTCAACCAGGGTTGTTATAACTTTCAACCACGAGGCACTGAAAAGGGATAATAAAAATCCAATTAGAAATTTTCAAGTATGAGAATAATTTTACAATTTTTTTCTCGTGTTACTTCGCATGAAGACCACATGGTCGATGTATCAACATTAACATCAAAACACCTGCGATGATATAAACGTGTATTTTGTTTTTCGTTATATTTGGAAAAAAAGTTAATCAACGAAGGCAAATCAATGTCGATATATTCGTCATGTACAAATATTTAAAATTTCGTAGTTTACTCTTCAAAATATTTGTCATCAGTTTGATCGTTCTTACTTTCTACGCCTACTACTGGAAGACAATCGATCAAGTAGTGCACCAAAATGCATTTTTTCACAGTAATCGTGAGTATTTTCTTTTTAATTTCGATATTTTTTAAATGCTAACCATATTTCTACAATATTGTAACAATTATTTAAAATTGTTTCATTGACACTTTGATTTAAATTTATTTTTCTAACATAACCTCCAAACGAAAATTTGGCAATAATCGCAAATTTGCAAGATTTTATTAGGATTTGTATCATTTGTATTAAACATTTTAGTAAAATTATTGACAAAGTTTGCTTCATCAACAGTTAATTGATTTCTATTTCTTAATTTCGATATATTTGAAAGAACACATTTAAAAAATAAATTTGGTTATAATGTGAAATTTATTCTTTTAAATCACATTTAAATACACAAATAATACTTTTGTTAATTCATTAGCTATACTTAAGTAATAATGATAAGTAATGGGACACTTAAAATCTATTTAGATAATGAAAAAAATGCCTGCTTATTATCTAGACGGGAAGTTAAAGCAAATAGAAAAAGAATTAAAAAAATAGTTCAACAACTTTTCCGCAAGTAATAATTAAGGGACTTTGATTTTCTCAGTAGTAATATCCTTAATTGCGGTATACAAAGAGTAGTTTTTTTTAGCAAAATAAAGTCTGGAAATACGAGAAAATTGCGAAATGTTGGATTGATTTACTGAAAAAAGGTTTGAAAAAAAACTGAAAAATAAGTAAAACATTATTGAAATTCAATGAAACAAAAGAGAAACAATCGATAATAAAGTCGTTGCTGCTTTTTGTCACGAATTCAAGAATTTGGTTTTTGTTAAATTTAAAATCAATTAGAAATAAATGATTTAATTATAAATAAATAGAAAATGTGAATTTCATTCGTAGATTAAATTCGTCACAATATTCATGACGTTAAGAAATATCTATTCAATGATTATAAAATTTATGATTTATGATAAATTGAATAGAAAAAATCGAAAAGTATTTGTCACGCTCAACCTTGATAATTATATTAACCTATTAAATTCATTTTATGGTATTTTTTACTTTGAGAATAATAGATTTATATTAAATAGTTCCGTTTGTGAAAATGAAAAAAAAGTTTATACAATTTTATTTCAAAGAATTCCACCGATATTTAATTATCGTCGTAATTGATAATTTTTTTTTTCGAAGTCGTTTGGAAAATTTAAAAGCAAAAACAATTTTATTGACTATTAAAAATGACTTAATCTAAACATTTTTCTTTATCAAAAGTAAAAAAGTAGACAAATTTTTTTTCAAATTTACATTTAAAAAAAATTGTCTAGGAATATTTTTTCAATAAAAAATAATTTTTCCCCAAGATGAGAATATGCCTTTTTTGTAAAACGTTTTGGCATATTCTTTTTTAGGTCCATTCTCATCTTCGGATGCATCGCACGAATATAACCGGAACGATTCACAAAATTTGGCAACATTTAAAAATACCATTATAGAAACATCGGCTCTAAGTTCAAATGTGTCGCACAATCCAACAAATTTATCAACCGCTATTGTAATGGTCTCAACGTCCTCCAATTCACAAATTTCGTCTTCCTCGAATATATCAAAACTCCCAGAAAATGTCAAGTCAAAAATAATGCGAGAATTAATCAAAACAACAATTACAACGACAAGTAATTCGTCAATAAATTCAAATTTAATACGTGCCATGTATAAATCAGGTCATTCAATATCAATTCCCGAACAATGTCCTGAATTTGGTGAGAAAATGAATTTAGCAATAATAATAATGTCAGCGCCAAGAAATAATAAATCACGAACGGCAATAAGACAAACGTGGGGACATTATGGTCAGAGAAATGACATTAGCATACTTTTCATTATCGGCACAACTTTCAATAAGGAGATCGAAGAAAGTCTTCATCGCGAGCAAACTATGTATGGCGATATTATTCGCGGCAATTTCATTGATTCATATTCAAATTTAACATTCAAGACAATTTCAATTTTAGAATGGATTAATCTTTATTGTCGTAAGGTGAATTTTATTCTAAAGACTGATGACGATATGTTTATTAATGTCCCGCGTTTATTATTATTTTTAACGAAACATCAACGTGAGAAAAATATTATATTTGGCCGCTTAGCAAAAAATTGGAAGCCAATACGTAATAAAAAAAATAAATATTACGTCTCAATGGAACAATATAAATTGCCCGTTTTTCCCGATTTCACCACTGGTCCAGCGTATTTATTTTCAAAAGATATTGTACCAAATCTTTACGAGGGAGCTTTAAATCAAACATTTCTTCCTCTCGAGGATGTATTTATCACTGGAATTGTTGCTCAATCACTTGGAATCAAACGTGTACAAGCACAGGGATTTTTAAATACACGAATTTCCTATGCCCCATGTAATGTACAAAAGGGCATTAGCATTCATAAGGTCCGTTATGGCGAGCAATTTGATCTTTGGAAAAAATTATTGGACGGCAAGAGTAATTGTAAATTATAACCACTGAGAAGGGTTCGCTCCATGGACCCAAATTTGAACATCATTAGTTTTCTATCACTCGACATGAAAAGCATTCTCAGTTGATACAAACATTGTCATTGTGTTTATCGCAATGCATTCTAAAAAAAAAAAAAATAATAATCAAACTGAAAATGTTTTTCTCCAAAAAAATACAATTTCAACATATATTTCTATTTAACTAGATTAGAAATTTTTTGACGATAGTTAAAATACTTGAAAATATTTGGAAAGAAAAATAATTTCCCTTTGCACTTGAGCAAACAAAAAAAAGAACATTGCCTTTAGATAATAAATTTACTATCACGTATTTCAACTTTAATATTCTTTAATAATTAATAGAAAACTAGTTTATAAATTTGACAATCTTTCCCTTTACTTCAAAATAATATTTCATTTATATTTACATCTCATTAGAGTATTATTTTCGTTACATATCAACACAGACAGTGTTATTGTTTAAAACGCACAGACTATTATTCATTCAAAGCCATGACAATTTTAATTGATTGAGTTAATTTAATCATCATTCTAATTAGTTTGATTCATAATTTTTATTTATTGACAAATTAGTTTGATTAATTTATTTATTAACTAATTAATCCAATTAAAAAAGCGTATATAGTGAAAAGTAATTATAATGTAGGAAAAAAGAAGCAAAATTGTCAAAAAAAAAAAAGATAAAAGAAATTTTTAAGAAATAAACTGACTGGAGAAGTCTGACAATTCTTTTCCTATTTAGACATGATAAAAAACAAATTATCAGACTGTTATGTTACCGTGATTACGGTTGAGTGCCTCGATAGAAAAAAAACCATATTGTAATGAATTAGTAGAAAATAAGTGACCTGTACTTAATTTAGTCACGCTTTTTAACTCCATAATGTCGAAAAATGATTCTTTTCATTTATTATTATTAATATTGATAATAAACTAATTACTATTAATAATTTAATTAAAGGAGATAATTAATAGTAATTAATTGATATTGATATAATACAATTTGTTGAAATTCTACATTATGAAAGTTGAAATGATCTTTGATGTTAACGAGTTAAAATACGAATTAAATGTTGAACGTAACATTTCTTTTAATACGACGCTTTAATGTACTTAATTTTATTATTGATTTCAATTTAAATGTTAAAATTGGATTTCAATATTTTAAAAATTATTATGTACTTGAATATTTATTTTTTATTTTATTTTACTTTTCATGTGCTTTCGCATCTATAACAGCTTTCAGAAAGAAATATTCTTTCGAATAGAACTAGTGATTATATAAACAAATAGACATGAAGTTTCGAACGTTCCGAAAGTAAAAAATTTTATTTTCTCTTATTTATTATTTGTATTATTTTTATTTTATTTATCAATTATTATTATTTTAAATTTATATATCAATTTTATTGTTTTAATTTTGTTTATCAATTTATGTTTTAATTTTGTTTATCAATTTACATTTTAATTTTTTTTTTTTATAAATTTTTATTTTAATTTAAATTTTTAAATTTTTGTTATTTTAATTATCATTCACAAGTTTTGAACGTTGCAATGAATGGAATTTTATACGAATTAAAATATTTTTCAAAAACTATTGCACTGAAGAATGCAAAAACAAAATTGAAAATTTAGAATTTTTGTAATTTATTTTTTATAATTCTTTTCGAAATATTTCTGAAATAAGATTTGAACTTGAAGGTGAAATAAACAAATTTCATTTCGTTTCGAAGGAAAGTGTTTTGCCAATATAAATATTTTCTTAAATTACTGATTCAAAAAAGTAAAAATATAACTAAAAATTCAAAATCTTTATTGTAATTTATTATTTTAATATTTTATGCATTATTTTTGGAATAAGATTTAAATTTCAAGGAGAAATATAGTTAAATAAATTTTGTTCATTTAAAAGAAAGAATTTGTTTGCCAATATAAATATTTTCAAAAATTAGCTACTGACTGAAAGAACCAAAAATAAAATCGAAAATTGAGAATCTTTATAATTTTCAATATAATATAGTTACAATAATTTTTTTACAAAATTTATGTATGAGATAAAATAATGTTCCAAAAGTTCTCAACCGAAATGAATTTTTTTCTTCTTCAAATTAAAATTTCATTATACAATAATTTTTCGTCAAATATAAAAAAAATTGTGAACTTTCTTAATATTCAATTTTGTTTTTTAATTTTTATCACAATCAGTAATTGACGAAAATATTTTTAGTGAAACTTAAAAAATAATTAAACGAGAATTTTTAATTTTCTTTCTTATCAATTTGCAAGATAAAATTTTTGTTTACAAAAATTGTCTATTTTTCCGAACGTTCGAAACTTTATTAACAAATTAAAATGAATGAGAAGACAAAAAATTTGTGAATCAGGTGGCATAATATTATAGATAAACAAAATATTGATATTTCAATGTTATGATATATTACAAGATAAGAATTTCTCCTATAAATAATGAAATTGTAAAAAAAATTTTTTGATAATATTCGAATATTTCCCTAAATTCTCAGACTTGAAAAATATAATTGTCGTTTATTTTATAAAAATAATTGTTATTTATGGGACCAAATATATTTTTTGAGTCTGACGATTTTACGAAATATACGCGCGCTTCAAATTCTTACTATGAGAGAAAATTACTTCTTCTTGATTTATTTTTTTATGCGAATGAAGTTAAGTTTCAATTGTACATATCAACTAAATTTTTTAATGAAATATTTTAATCAAAAATTGTATATTTCTATTAAATTGCGATAAAAATTGAAAACAATCTCGATTTTTGATGAGAATAAATGTTTTGTCAAATTTTCAATTATAAAAATTCAATTTTTCCTTTTTTTTTTGGAAAAATTATCAATTTAATTGATTAATCTTCGAAACTGCCTATTGCTTTTTAACTTCTCTATAATATAACTCGGAAAAAATTTTTTTTTTCAACAAAATATAATCACATAATTATTATCTAGTCAGTGCCTAGATAATTGTTACTCAAATTATCTTGTAAATCTTTGTATATCGCTCAATTGTACCTCCTATGAAAGAGAAAGAATAGTCGATACTTGAGTCGAATAATTATTGTGATTAAGTTTTTAAGATCGACGTTTATTAAAAATGGAAATATACTTTAAAAGAGTTGCGGTGCCATAAAATACGTAATAACATTTAAATGTGCGATATATTTTTTTTTTCGTTTAGTTTTTAAGAAATTTGTGTGTCCCTATTTTTCATGCTTCGAAATAATTATAATGCTAAATATTAATATTACGTATATAATATACATTGTTGACTTTTTCCAACACGATAAAAAGAGAACTTTTTAGAATGAATATTATAAGCAGACTCAAAATGTAGAAAAGTAAGTTTTAAAAGAGAAATTAAGTTTTTACGCGATGTTTACAATATTTTTGCTCAAATTTTAGTGCTATGTTGTATGTTTAATTTTAATTGTACATTTTAATCAAAGGATCACGCTGATCGATTTTCTTTTGTGTTGATGAAATTTGGATGAAAAAAGTAGAAGAAAATTTAAATTGTAAATTCTAACGAAGTTGATTAAATGTTTTTAATTACTCGAATATTTTATAACAATATTTTATACGCACGCATTAGAATGTAATCCTTTTTTAATTATACACTTTCTTCGGAATTTACTCATTTTAATTTACAAATAGTGATAAATTATAGAAAAATGTTTCTTTTGTGTCATATTGCGTGATCCTTCGAAACTTAATTATCTCGTTTAATAGAATAAAATTTTTTAAGGAATTAAATTATTTAAAAACTCAATAAATGTATAATTTACTACGATTCATTATAATTGAGTGCGAATTTAAAGAAAAAAATTGAGTGCAAATGCCTTAGGTAAAATTGAAAACATAAAAAATAATCTCATTTTCCGGTGGAAAATGGATTTGTGTAAATATTGTAATATTTAAGCGCATGAGTCATTATTGCATTGTAAATGAAATTTTATTTGAGAAAAGAAATTTGCAAATAATGTTATATTAGGTATTTAGCTTTAATTTACAGTATTTTATTGCATAATATACGTAATTTACTTATTAAAAAAAGAAAATCGTTGACGATACAATAAATTATGATAATGATTGTTTATGACAATGACCATTGTCTTATGATTTATTTTTGTATTCGTCGATTTCTGGTTTTCAACCTAAGCTCAGACGACTGAAAATAATTTTGTTTTTTTTAAGTGTTCAAAGAGAATATTTGTAGAAAAAAAATATTGCGCTTGGAGCTGTGGTTGATTGAAATCTGCACACAATTTATTTGTTTGTAATTTTTAAATTGCATAATATACATATTATACATTACAAAACTTGATGAAATTATTCATTTCTTTTCAATTCTACAAATTTAAATATTAATTTAAAAATAAATCTACTATTTATTTTTTTATTTTCTTTTATTTATTTTTACTTTAATTAAAAAAATCGACAATTTCGATTTATTATTCTTTTTTAATGAAATAAGTTTTTAATTTAAAAACCGTTATTAATTTGCCTTTTATAATATTTTCTTCAGCCTGTATAATTAAATTATTGCGAGTAAAATTTTTCAGTATACGAGAATATTATTTTGTTTGAAAAAAAAAATGTTTACGAAATAATGAGTAATTATTTAATAGGCAAAAAAAAGAGGAATATTACAAATATGAACTGGAAAAATATTAACGCCTCCAAATGTTTTATACTCGCAATCTTTTAATGAATATAATTCACTTTGTGAATTAGGTAGATTAAAAGGCGTCTTCCACAAATTACCGGGACGAATTTATTTATGGTGGATATTATGAAATTCTCGTGAAGCATTTCTGTAATTACAAAGTGGAACGTCCAAACATTTAATCCGATGATGATTTCCCTTCACGTTTATTTTTTTTATTTTTTTTACCTGTAATAATAATTTTTTTGTAATATTCCTACTGTTATTCGGACAAAAATGTGAAAATGTAGAAAAAAAATATTCTATTGGCGCGAATATTTTATTTCTAGAATATGAAAAAAAGTGTCTCGTCGGAAAAATTATTATTATAAGGAAATTATTTTCTATTTATCAAGAAAATGTTTTAAAAAATAATATTCTGAACGTGTCAAGAAGATAAATTTAAAAGAATATTTTATTAGTATTTACAATTTCCTTACGTTTTCTTTTTACAAAAAAATTTTTAGTTGCAGAAAAATAAAAATTAATCGTGATGTACAATCAATTCTTTTATTTCGTCAACTTATCTGTTTTTATTTTTCTTTTTTATTTTCTAAATATTGAAAAATGTCATGAAAGTAAATTTTTATTTCTCGAAACAGATTTTTTTTCTTTTTATTTATTTTATTTATTTTTTAATAGATAGATTTTTATTTTTTCTTGCACTTTTTTCTGAAAAAAATTTATATTATAAAAAAATATTTTATTTAATTTTTTTTTTTAAATAAAGAAAAAGGAAAATTTTGTGAATTATTTTATTTATTAATTTACTTTTTTTTGAAAAGAAAGAAAGAGGGAAATTTTTGAATTATGTAGATTTGAAGAATAATTAATCATACTTATGTCAATAATACCTAATTAGCATTAAATTAAATCGAGTAGCAATAAATATGAATATGATTTAATTTATTTAGATTGCAATTAATAAAAGAAAGATAAATAATTGAAATGTTGCTCTTTGAAAGGGAACACTTCATTAAGTGTGACCAAACGACTCATAAACAATATAATTAACATATTATGAGAATTCCGTAACATAAAGTTCTTCAATACTACCGTTAGGAAAACGGTTTTTAATCGAAGACTGTGTATAGAAAGAAATCAAAAAAAAAAAAAATAATTCTTTCGTTACCATTTTGTAATCATTAAAATTCCATTAAAATTTCTCCACATATTTTCGAACGGATTTCGGAGAAAAGCAAATTTCACATGGAATTTTTTACAAAGAAGAAGAAAATTAAAATTAAGAATTTATTTTTATTTATTAATTTTTTTTTATTTTATTTTTTTTTGTGTTTTTATTAATTAATTAATTTTTTAGTTCTTTGTTTTTTAAAAATTTTTTTCTATTTTTTTGCCTTTTTTATTTTTATTTATTTTTTTTTTAAAGAAATTTAAATTAAATTGAAGAACAAAATTCTTTTTTATTTTCTCATTTGAATCTTTGAAAAACGAAGCAATGAACTTGGCGGAATGTGAACACAAGTTCAACGAAATTATTGATTAAATATTAATGTCAGTGATTGAATAATTATAATTTTTAGTATTATATTTCAAAATATACACTCGTACCGGAAATATAACTAAAGTTACAAGCCAGTTTCATTTCTCATTCTTGGATCGCAAAAAAATATAAAAGCCGGAATCTATAAAGTTGTTTTAATTATGACTCTTTTTTTTATTTCAATGTTAAAAATATCAAATTGCAAGTTAACTTTATAATCTTAATCTGTAATTTATACAAAGTATTCTCCTGATAATCTCTTCAGGGAAGAAAGAATTTCTTGTAAATGCAGATGTTCTTAATAACTTAATCCTTAGAAGGAAATGGCAAATAAGAAATAAGGAAATTGTTTTTTTTTCTTTCTTTCTTTTGAAATTTATTCTTCTTTAGTGTATAAAAATCATGAATAAAAATATAAAAACTCCTTTTTGTTCTTTTTTTCTTTTTTCCTTTTTTTAAACTTCAATATTTGACCTCTGATCTTTAGTCGAACAAAAAATAATTCAATGAATACCCAATTAACATCAGACCTTTTTAGTCATTTATTTTTGTTCTCTATTTTTGACTTTCAATTTTTGAAATTAAAAGTAAAAAAACCCCAAGTTTTTTTTTTGTTGAAATATTGATTCATTTAAAAATGGTTCTCTTTAATTTTTTTTCAGAGAGTCTTTTTTTTGTTAATGATTCTGCATATGATAAAATGGATAAAATGTTGAGGCATTTTAAGGAGGGAAAAAAATTTTTGATTTACTGTGAACTGTTTTTTTTTTTGTTCTCGTTCGCGGTTTTCGATTTCTCCTTGGCGAGTTTTAAGACGCCCTTGAACGATCATTTTATGAGACGCACGTAATTACTATCATTATTTCGTTTCAAACTGCAAAGATAGATCATTAAATACGTCTAACAAAAAAATATAGATTATGAAATAGAAGATTCACTTTTTAATCTAGTGATTTTTTAAAAATATTTTCCCCCTGGTTCTTTTTATTTATTTTATTATTATTATTATTATTTTTTTTTTTTGAAAATCTATTTCGCAAATCAAGACTCCGAAAAATGTTGCTTCATTTCTGAAGTACTTTGGAAATATACAAGAATTAATTTATGCATATTATATGAATACATATAGTCAGAAAATGATTCTTCGAGACAACTTTCACTAGGATCTACAAATTCGTTTCGTAATTATGTATGAGCTTCGAGGAAAAAAAGGTGAGCCACAAAATTGATTTTTTTTTTGTTTATTAATTTGAATTAAAAGTTTACGGAAGTAAATTTAATTTCGAAATTTGTTCATTTCAATGTATAATTGAAAAAAAAATTGCATATATAAACAATTATTTGCTGGTAAACAATTTTTATTAAATAATTTAATAAATAATTTCAATAAAAACTAATTTTAATAATAAGTCATTAAAATAAATAATGAAAATATTTTTGCACACAGAATTTTGAAAATATTTTTGTGCAAGTAATATTGAAATTATTTTTGTACCAATAATTTTGAAAATAGTTTTGTACAAATAATTTTGAAAATAGTTTTGTACAAATAATTTTGAAAATAGTTTTGTACAATAATTTTGAAAATAGTTTTGTACAAATAATTTTGAAAATATTTTTCTACAAATTAATATTGAAGATATTTTTCTGAAAATTAATATTGAAAATATTATTGTTTACAAATTTTATTTAAAAAGAAAATATTAAAAATATTGTATTATTTTTTCAGAAATTGTGAATCGAATCAAATCTGGAAATGATGTTTTCTCAAAACCTTGACGAATTTTTTATGCGAATAAAAGGAATTAATATTGGGAACACCATTATAGCAATGTGGATTTTTGTTTGTGATTGCCTTTGATGAGAAAGGCCTTGATGATGGAACTTTTTCTCAATTGATATGCGGCTCTTTTTCTTCATCAGTTATAGGTAAGGAATATAATCACAACGATTGTCTCCAATCAGAACAATTTATTTCTTCCAAGTAAACCTTTTAATGTGGAAGAAAAAAGTAAAATAAATCGTTTATTATTTTTTTTCTCTATTTTAATATTTATTTTCATTTATTTTATTATTTTTAAAATTATTTTCAATTATTTGTATTATTTTTAATTATTTTTATTATTTTATTATTCTTCAAGAATTTTTTTTTTTATTATTATTTTAAATCATTTTTACAATTTTCAATTATTTTCTAAAACTATATTTACTATTTTTAATTGAAAATAACTATTTAAAAAGAACATATTCGATAAAAGGGGAAATGTTACTTCGAAATTAATTGATCTAATTTGAAAAGAATGCATAATGAGCAAAAGATTACCAATCTCTAAGAAATAAGCAATAAATTCAATAGTAAAGTGTTGTCTTCTAATTGCAGTTAAAAGTAAAATTTGCAATTCATTTGTTAAGCAGAAGCTGAATCAAGATTTTTATGACCATTCGAAATGATTAGGATTTTTCAAATGAAAAGGAAGAAGAAAAAAAAACATATTTGAATTAACTTTGTATTTTTCTACGTGTATTGTTTAGCTTTGACAAGGTTTGCCTAATGAGAAAAGATTTCACGTTGAAGATAGAAAGTTATGCTAAAATGTCCATGTAATTTAATCATTTCGTCAACAAATTTCAATTTAAACACTAAACAATTAAAAAAAAATTCAATTTGTAATTTTAAATTGAGAAATTAATTTTTTCACATTAAAAAAAAAGATACGAAAATTTATTTACGATTTTCCAATTGTCGTGAGTGGAAAAAGCAGTGAAAAAAAAATTTTTTTTAACTATTTTTTAAAATCTCATTTTATTATTATTTTTGAGGAATTTTAGGTCAGATTATAAAGGACATATTTTATCACAAAGGTTTGTGAAGCGTGGAAAGAAACTTGTCTTTTACATTTTTGATAAGAATTAAATTATAGAGACTTGTTTTTATAATTTATTTTATTATCATTTTTTTATCATTTTTCTCTAATAATAAAATAAATGTTATGTTGTAGATAGTGCGTGAGAATAAAATCTATTTCGAATCGATAAATTATCATCAAACAAATAATAGATACATAATTATCTTTTACTGTCTTTCTTCAATTGTCTTTTTTCTATTTCTTTTCTAATTCTCAATTTTTATTGAGACAATTAATTCTCAATTTTTTAATTCTCGAAAAAAATTTTTTTGTATGCAAATTTATTGAATAGTAAAAGTGAGAATTTATCACTCAATATGCTTATTTATTTATAAATACATATATAAAACTATAATATAAATTTAATAGAGAAAATAAATAGAAAAAATAAATAAAATTGAGTAGAAAAAATAAATAGAAATGGATTACAATAAGAAAAAGAAAATTTCGAAAAATGTAATAATTAAGAGAAAAAAAAATTTCGCTTCTAAATGAGCTTTCTCCTTGACTTTCCAATATTGGGCTCATCTTCATTTTTTTCTTGCAATCGTATACTTTAATAAAATCGCTAATTTTAAATGAACAAAAAAAAAATAATGAAAATTAATTCTGTGCATTTTTTTCGCAGAGACGAGACAACGAATTGGTTTCGAATTTTCAAGGCTCGCAGCGAGCGGAAGGAAAAAAGAAAATAATGAACTGGCTAAATTTAAAATTTAGGAGCTGATCTTTCAATGTCCCGAACCGATAAACGAAGTCTTGTGTCTCGAGCAATATTCTCGGCCCATATATTATGCAGGCATTTCAGCTCTCGTCCACATTTATAAACGACCGGTTCATCTTCTCGTTTTCTCTTTCTTCTGCACGCACGCAAAGAAGAAGAAGATTCGCTGAAAAATTGTGTATATTCAAAAAAAAGAGCAAAGGAAAGAAAAGCAAAAGAAGAGGAAGGAAAGGAGAAAAGAGCAAAAAAGGAGAAAAGGAGGAAAGGACAAAAAATTTTTTCATAATGAGAAGCTTTTATAATGCGCGTTGTAAATAGAGAAACGTGTTGTAAATTTAATTTTTTTTCTCTATGTACCTATAGAAGAAATTGTTATTTTATGATTATAATTTATAAAGTGTATTATTATTATTAGAGAGGTAGTAAAAAATTACTAGTGAAATAATAATAAAAAGAGATTTAAAATTCTACGTTTATTATTAGAGATGCGTCATTAGAGGAGAGGGATTCTAGAAGTTTTATCGTGATGTTCTTCACCTGATTGGTTTTGTCGACAATTAGATTCTAATAAACTCTTTGTATATTGTGAATAAGCATTTCAAAACGACTGCTTAATCAGTTATTACAACGCTAGAATTATTTAACACTTGTATATATTAAAGAGATGACGATTTTCTCTATAAAGAGAAGTTGATTGGGAAAGAAAGATTTTCCTTTTAATATTCCGTCTCGTTAATTGTTTATTGTCAGCTAGTTTATATTTAGGAACTGAAAAAATTGGAAAACGAGAATTAAATGTCATTGAAATGCCAATTTTATGAATTTTATTGTATTTTATTTTTATTTTATTGTACTTTATTTTATTTATTGCATTTTGTAATTTTGTTTTACAAAAATTAAATGAAAAAATGAAAAGAATAATGTTATTAATTATTATATATGATTAATAGATTAAATAATGGATTATAATCATTAATTCGATTATAAATTCGAAATTGTCACAAATTCGATTATAAAAATTTGAAATTGTCATAAATTCGAGTATAAAAATTTGAAATTATCATAAATTCAATTATAAATTTGAAATTGTCATAAATTTGATTATAAATTCGAAATTGTTATGAATTCGGTTATAAATTCGATAAAAAAATCGAAATTATTAAAAATTCTATGATTATTATAAATAATAGTTGAAATAATTATAAAAATAAATAATAATTAATAATAAAATAATAATTCCATTATTATTGTTATAGAATAATTAGAATATTAAATTTAAATATAATTAATTATTATTCACGATTTACATTCTTCGGTATTAAACGAAATGCCTGTTTATTTTTATTTATTTATTTATTTAAAAAATAAAGACTCAAAGGCTTAAATTACATATTATTATCTACGATGATGGATTTTGCTTAATTACAAGGTTTTAAATTTAAAAAATCAATTTAATGTAGAAGATCGGTAATTATAATTATTATTTTTAATTATTCGACAGAAAGTTTACTTTAAAAATATTTTTAAAATATTTTTTTAATTTGATTTTCAAATAAATATTCACAAATATAAAAAAAATGTTTACATTAGATTTTTGTAAAAAAAAAAGAAACTTGCAATTAATTTAAGTTTAGATATTTATTTATTGTTTATTATTATATTTATTTATTGTTTTTCATTTATTTTTTATTACCGCTATAAAAAAATATATTTCTGTAAATAAAATTCTGTAAATTTAAAATTAATAAATTTTAATATTTACTCTTTATCATTTATTTTAGTTCGCAATTAGTATTTTAGAAATTGAAAAAATTATTCTTATCGTCTTTAATAAAAGAGTAATTTACTTTTTTCTTTGGTTAATTAGTATTTTCGTTAATTAAACGAATTAGGATTTAGATATAATAATTATAACATATTTGTCAAAAGTAATTATTGAAAAATGCTAATAATAATTATAAGAAATAATAATAATTAAAAAATGTTAATAAAAATTATAAAAAATACTAAGAATAATTATAAAATTGAAAAATACTAATAATTATAAAATTAAAAAATACTAATAATTATAAGCAATACTAACAATAATTAAAAAATACTAATAAGAATTAAAAGCAATAATATAAATAATAAAAAAAAATTGTTCTGACAATAATACGTCAAAACAAATTTTTTTAAATATTCGCGCGAGTCTGTTTTATTGACACCAAAAAAGCAAATAGTTCTTATTTTCCAATGAAGATGTCGGATAAAAATTTGATTATCGCGCATGCCTGACCGTTTAACATTGACTGATGGGAGAAGAAGGGGGCATTCGAATCAGTTATCAGTTATCATCAGTTCTCTAGTGGCCGGTTTAAGAAGGACTGCCACAAAAGAGATTTATAAAGTTGTTTTTTTTCAACTATTTTATAAACAAATTACGACATTAAGGAAAACCTCTAAAGCGACAATGTCGTACTGCACTCGAATTTTACATGTGCAGGTAAGCATTTGTTTATTTCAATATATTTCTCAGTTATAAATGTCACTTGACCCCCAATGACCCTTTAAAAACTTGACAATAATTTTAGATTTTTACTTACGAAAATCTTTTTTTCTTTTCTTTTTTCATCCAAATAGTTTTCTATTCTACGTCCTTCAAACAGAAGATATAAATAAATATTTTTTGACTGTCCCCGATTTTTACAGAAATAACCACAATACGTAATGTCACAATTACGAGCTGTATCGTGAAATTCGTTTAAATATTTGAACAATGTAGTCTAATTTTTAAAGTAAACAAATTTGGAAAGAAATTTATATTCTTATTCACGTGATTTATTTCATTTGATACAAAAAGAACATTTTTTTCCAGAAACGTCAAACTGTCAAAGCTAACTAAACGTTTTTTGACTTCTTATTAGTTATTATGAATTGAAATGATAATTTAACAATGTACTTTATCAAACATTGTGTATAAATAAATTCTGTAAGCGAAAATTTATTAACAAGCTCATGTTCCATTTTCGAGTTATATAATTAATGAGGAGCAAACATATACAATCATTTTCGAGGTTATGTTTTAGTATTACGCGCATGTCCCATAATGGACAAAGTTATTTGCATTCTTTTTTTCTCAAAATTGTAATCCTACTAGTAAAGGAGAATATTTAAATGTAAAACATAAAAAAAATTGTTTTTCATTTTTATTATAAACTTATAATTAACCGCATATGTTTTCAGGTTAGATCTACTGAAGTAATTAAAACATAGATATACTTAACGTAATCAAATATAATTTCGTATCATATTGTATAAACATGCAAAGCAAGCATATTTATAAAATTCTTTATCTTATCTACTCTCATTCAATCGGCAAATTTATAAGATTATTGAAATGAATTTTTTTTTTATTTTGCAAAATTATTAAGACTATTGTATCTATTTTTAACGCAGGACTTTTGGTTTCAAGTTCCCGATGCCAAAATGTATTTCTAGTTCTCTTTCTGATATATACTTATATATTCGAGTACATTAATAATAGATTATTGTCAAAGGTTCAATAAATTTGCAGACAGTGAGTTTATTGCCAAGTTCAATAACATTTTGAGTTAGGTTGTGATTATCGAAAAAAATAATTCACGTACTTGGCTCTTTTTATTTCACAAATTAATTTCTCAATACTGTTTTTATAGGAAATAAAATTTTAAGTCGTATGTTTTAAAATTAATATTAGCTTTTTACGTGTATTCTACGTATTTGCAATTATTTTTATGACCTAATTTATTTAATGATCTGCTTGTTGTACTCGAATACTTTTGAGTTTCGAAGAATCTGTATTACGTAATAAATAATATAATAAATGGAAGATATTAAAGAATATAAATAAAAATAAGATAGTAAATATAATGTACATAATAAATAAATACAAGGTAATGAATAATTTACAAAAATATTGTTACAGAAATTAGGTGGATTCGCTGGTGAAATTCAGCAAAGATGTTTCCACGCGAGTCCTCTTTCCTTTGCTGCTGCAAAGGTGGCAATGAGCAAATTCGACAGTTCCAACTACCTTCCATACGAAAAGTTGGATTCAAATTTACAAGTAGTGAAAAAACGGTAAGAAATTATTTTTAATATTTTCGTTTGATGATTTTTAATTTCTCATCCATAAGTATTAATTAATTTATATTAATTTTTAGACTCAACCGGCCATTAACACTATCAGAGAAAGTTCTCTATTCTCATATCGATGAACCCAGTAAACAAGACATCCAACGAGGAACAAGTTATCTAAGATTGCGACCTGATCGTGTAGCTATGCAAGATGCCACAGCGCAAATGGCCATGCTCCAATTTATTAGTTCAGGTAATGAAATGCAAACAATCTTCTAATTAATTTTATTGGCAAATACAGAGAGAGAGAGAGAGAGAGAGAAATTTTATTTAAACCAAATATAATTTATTTGAGTTCAATAAAATATTTATCTCAGAGTCTATTAATTTATATTAAGAATTTTCATTGGAACCAAATAAAATTTATTTGGAATCAATAAAAGTTTAAATAGACTTTGAGTCAAAGATATCTTCTTTTAATAGAATTTTAATAAAATTTCAAGAAAACATTCAATTATTTTCTAGAATTTTAATAAAATTCTTCGAAAAATTCTATTATTTTTGGGTAAATAACACAATTTTATTCTTCTCAGGAATTCAATTATTTTCAATATAATTTTAATAAAATTTCTCAAAAGATTTCAATTATTTTTACAAATAAATAATTTTTTCTCATGATTTCAATTAATTTCAGTAGAATTTTTATAAAATTTCTCAAAAGAGTTAAATTATTTTCTAAAATTTTAATGTAATTCTTCTTAAAAATTTAATTATTTTCATTAAAATTTCTACAAAATTTCTCGAAACGACATGATTTCAATTATTTTTAGTAGAATTTTTAGAAAATTTCTCAAAAGAATTTAATTATTTTCAAAAATTGTAATAGAATTGTGAACAAAAAATTAGTCTTTTAAAAAATTATAATTAAAATTTTTCGATGATAGTTACATTCTCGTAAATTATTTTTAAAAATTAGGAAATACTGAAAAAAATCAAATTTTTTGTGAATCGACTAAAATGAGCTTCTTAAGTTGTCAAATTTTATTTTTCGTTGGTTACTTTTTACTAGTTTTTTTTCGATTTTAAAGCTACTTTTTATTACTGTTCTAAAATTAGTTATCGAGTGCAAAGCCTGCTTTCAGTCAAATATGTCTTTTTTCTGGGTGCAATCAAGATTTAATATTATTAAATAATTAATTATTAATATTTAATATTATTATTATGGGAATTAAAAGTTTTACAAAGATTCAAAGAAGTTATTGACTTAATCTCTTGTTTTGAAATTCCAGGATTACCAAAAGTCGCCGTTCCATCGACAATTCACTGCGATCACTTGATCGAAGCGCAAATTGGTGGCGACAAGGATTTGGCTCGTGCAAAGGAAGTGAACAAAGAAGTCTACAATTTCCTAAAGACCGCAGGTGCTAAATATGGTGTTGGATTCTGGAATCCCGGCTCGGGAATTATTCATCAGATTATTTTGGAAAACTACGCATTCCCAGGATTGCTGATGATTGGTACGGATTCGCATACACCGAACGGAGGCGGTTTAGGTGGATTGTGCATTGGTGTTGGTGGTGCTGACGCTGTTGATGTAATGGCGAACATCCCCTGGGAATTGAAATGTCCAAATGTTATTGGCGTGAAATTAACTGGTGAACTTAAAGGTTGGACCAGTCCGAAGGATATAATTCTCAAGGTCGCGGGAATTCTCACTGTCAAGGGCGGCACTGGCGCTATTGTCGAGTACTTTGGTCCCGGTGTTGACAGTATTAGTTGCACTGGCATGGCTACTATTTGCAACATGGGCGCTGAAATTGGTGCCACTACCTCTGTATTCCCCTATAATGATCGCATGAAAACTTATTTGAAATCAACTGGAAGAAGTGACATTGCATCTGCTGCTGATAGTTTTAGATCGTCATTGTTGACAGCCGATCCAAATGCGAAATACGATCAGGTTATTGAACTCGATCTCTCGACACTTGAGCCGCATGTTAATGGACCTTTCACGCCTGATCTCGCTCATCCCATTTCTAAACTCGGTAATTTTGTTCTTTTTTTGATTTTAATCAATTTAAATGCAAAAGAAAAGAAAGAAATGAACAAAATCATAATTCTTACAATTGTTTTCGCAGGCGCAACTGCCAAGAAAGAAGGATGGCCCAATGAAATCAAAGTAGGTCTGATCGGTTCGTGCACCAATAGTTCTTACGAAGACATGGGTCGCTGTGCCAACATAGCGAAACAGGCGTTGAAACATGGATTAACGGCCAAAGCCGCTTTCAATGTGACACCTGGATCGGAGCAAATTCGCGCCACAATCGAACGCGATGGAATTGTAAGTAATTTATTTAATTTTCGAATTTCAGCGTAGCCACATGTCAATAAAATGACAGGAAAAAAAAATTTTTGTCAGGGAAATTGAGACTTTTTTCGACTTATTTTCAAAAATTGCGACTTTTTCAACTTTTCTTCAAAATATTGCAAAAAAATACCACATTTTTTTGGTATAAAATTCAACTTATATCTATTTTTAACCGTAAACTTTCATATTTTCCTGTAAAAAGAATTTTGTCAGGCAAAATAATTTTAATGTCAGAAAATTGTAAGGAAAATGTCAGGGAAATTGATAAACTGAAAATTGTGACAACCCAGAATTTGTTAAAAAAGAACAGAACAAATAGAATAGAATATTTTATAACTAATGTTTACATTATTTATGATATCATATATGATATCATAATAGAATCTATAGATTCTATTATGTGATCTTCACACAAAGATGTATTTTGTATTCGAAAATCAAGTATAATATTTTTTATCGAATAGGCGGAAACACTTCGGCAATTTGGCGGCACTGTTCTTGCCAATGCTTGTGGTCCATGCATTGGTCAATGGGATCGACAAGATGTTAAGAAAGGTGACAAGAACACAATTGTCACTTCGTACAATCGTAATTTCACTGGTAGAAATGACGCGAATCCTGCTACTCACGCTTTCGTCACCAGTCCTGAATTGGTCACGGCTATGTCAATTGCCGGACGATTGGACTTTAATCCAACAAAGGATCGATTGAAGGGCAAGGACGGCAAGGAATTTTTGCTCGACAGTCCCTACGGTAATTATTCTTTACTTCGAGTTTAATTTTCTCTTGATTTTGAATTTAATTTTTTCATAACTTTGAATTTAATAATCTGTGACGCGCTCCAAAGAAAGGTACTTAAGAAGCAATCAAATTTAGGTTTTTTAAATAATTTTTGGAGTAAAAATACAGAAAGAGATGGAATTACTTTCTTAGGAAACAATTTTATTTCTTAGGAACGCGTCACAATTCTCATAACTTAGAATTTAATTTTCTCAATTTGCTATTTTCTGGGGAGTAAATAGTAAAAGGGGTTTTACAATTTCAGTGAATTAATTGTGAAATAAATTTATTTGAAGGTGATGAATTACCGAGTCGTGGTTTCGACCCTGGAATGGATACATACGATTCACCACCTGCTGACGGCACGAAAGTAAGGGTTGATGTGGATCCCGGTTCCCAACGCTTGCAACTTCTCGCTCCCTTCGAGAAATGGGATGGCAAAGATCTCACAGATTTGACAGTTCTCATCAAGGTTAAAGGAAAGTGCACCACTGATCATATTTCCGCAGCTGGTCCATGGCTCAAATATCGTGGTCACTTGGACAATATTTCCAACAATATGTTCATTGGGTAAGATTTTTTTTTTAAATTTAAAATTATTTAGAATTTAATTTCACTATTTAGAATTAAATTGACAATTTTGCAATTTTACAATTTAACAACTTACAATTTCACAGTTTAAAAATTTACTATTTACAATTTCAATTTTGCAAAAACTATATATAAATTAGGTTAAATTTATTATTTTGCGTATTCAGATTTCGACTTTTTTCGATTTATTTTAATAAAATGCGACTACTTCGACTTTTCCTTCACATTTTTTTAAAACAACAGTACCACTTTTACATTTGTTGTATTTATTTATTTTTTTAATGAAACAGACATTGAATTTTTTTTCACCTCAACAGTTTAACAAAAAGAACCAAAAAGAGTTCCAATTGCGATTTTTATAAAAAATTGAATTTTGGTGTTTAAAATATTAAATTCACGAAGAACTATCTGAAAATTATTCAAAATAATTAATTTAGAGAAAAATTTTAATTAAATATTGTGGAATAGAATTGAATTTTGTAAAAGTTATTAATAAAAATTTTTAGAAACAATTATAATTCAAAATTGTCAACAATTCAGTTTTTTGAAAAATGTTATTGAAATTTTTTAAAATTAGTTGAATTTTTGAATATAAAATTATTTGGAAAATTTTCGGATAATTGAAATTTAGTGAAATATAATTCAACACAATTGTATTTAAAATTTTATTCTAAGTGAAGTTTCTTCTTCTCCTTAGAATAATTTAATTTTCAAAGAACTGACTGAAAATTTTTAAAAATAATTGATTTAGAAAAGAATTTTAGTTTAAAATTCTAGAAAAGAATTGAATATTGGAGGATTTATAGAAGAAATTTTCAGAAATAATTAAATTTAAAAAGGCTTTAAAATGAAATTTTTAAAGATTTGAATTTGGAATAATTTTTATTAAAAATTCTGAAGAACTTATATTTTTAAAAAAATTTAATTAAAATTTTTTGAAACTAGTTTAATTTTTTTATCCACTTGAAAAATTTTAAAAAAATTGAATTTTTGTGAAATTGAATTAAAAATTTTATTTTAATTGAATTTTCTCTTTCTTTTTGAATAATTTAATTATCAAAGAACTTTCCTGAAAATTATTTTAAAAAATAATTCATTTAAAGAAGAATTTTAGTTCAAAATTCTAGAAAATAATTGAATATTGAAGGAGTTATAGAAGATATTTTTCAGAAATAATTAAATTTCAAAAGGCTTTAAATTGTAGTTTTTTAATTTTCGGTAAAAATTTTGAACAATTTGGTTACTTCAAAAATTTTAATTGAAATCTTTTCAAAACTAGTTTAATTTTTTTATTTACTTGAAAATTTTTCGAAAAATTGAAATTTTGTGAAATTGAATTTAAATTTTTCTTTAAGTGAACTTTCTTCTTCTTTTTTGAATAATTCAATTATCAAAGAACTTTCCTGAAAATTTAAAAAAAAATAATTGATTTAGAGAAGAATTTCAGTTTAAAATACAAGAAAATAATTGAATATTGGAGGAATTAAGGAAGAAATTTTAAGAAATAATTATAAAAGGTTTTAAATTCAAAATTTTCGAAGATTTGAATTTTTAATCATTTTAATTATTGAATAACTTTCTGAAAATTATTAAAAGTAATTGATTTAGAGGAGCTTTTTGGTTAAAATTTCAGGAAAATAATTGAATACTGGAAGAGTTATTGGAAAAAGTTATAAACTTTTCTGAAAATTAAGAAATATTCAATAAAATCCAAAATATAATTTTTGTGATAATCCGAAATTGAAATAAGAGATTTTTTCGGCTTTTTTCGTAGTGTGAATCGACTAAAACATTTTTTTTTTTTTCTTAAAGCAGACCCGAGAGCTGTGTATTAAATGTTTTTAATTTTGCCTTTACAGAGCTGTTAATTCAGAAAATGGAGAAATGAACAAAATTAAAAATCAATTGACCGGAGATTGGGGCGCAGTACCTGATGTAGCTCGATATTATAAGAAAAATGGAGTAAGGTGGGTGGCGGTTGGTGATGAAAATTACGGCGAAGGTTCATCCCGGGAGCACGCTGCATTGGAACCTCGTCATCTTGGCGGCCGAGCAATCATTGTCAAGAGCTTTGCCCGAATTCACGAAACAAATCTCAAGAAACAGGGTGTCTTGCCTTTAACCTTCGCTAATGCGAGTGATTACGACAAAATTCAACCCACTGATAAAATCAGTTTACTGGGTCTCAGTTCCATCGCTCCTGGAAAGGTAACTTTACAAACTTACATCAAAAACTCGTATTTCTTTAATTCATTAAATTTATTGCTTATTCTTCATTAATCGAGATTTTAATTAACAATTTTTATCTGCAGTCCGTTCAGGCGGAAATCAAACACAAGGATGGCAAAGTTGACAAGATCACACTCAATCACACATTGAATGAACAGCAAATCACGTGGTTCAAAGCTGGATCGGCATTGAATCGTATGAAGGAGATCGCAGGAGGAAAGTAAAAGTAAGAAACATTTTTAAAACGAAGACAAAGTTTCGAAAATCATTGCAGTGCAAATATAGTAAATTAAATGAATTAGAGTAAAGCGGCACAACTAATTCGATGTTCTCTGATAGATTGAATTTCGACGAAAAAAAACGTGAAATATTCTTAGAATATCACTGAAAGTAATTAAAAATTGTAATTTTTGAATTAGAATATTTCAGTCCATGTCGATTGAAATAATTGATCACAATTTAAGAAAAAATTATTCGAATTTATTTGAAAGATTTTGATACATTTTTCCGAATTTTTCAATAATTGGAAAATTTTTTCTTTCTAAATTCTTTAATATATAAGAATGATTGTCGAATGATGAATTGCCTCGAGTCAAATAATTTTATAAGTGAATCTAAATAGTATTGCTTATTGTATAGACAATAATATTGTCTCCTATTGACAATAGTGATTAATCCATCATTCTTTGCAAGTGAATGCAGCGGAGAATCTCGCAAATTTTTTAAATCAGCGATTTCTTTTTTATTAAAATCGTGTACGCCCCGATCGCTGATATTTGAAAAAAAGGAGTGTATTCTTCGCTGAATATCTGTCAAGTTATTATTATTTTCTTTCTATTTTGAAAATCATGTACATATTGTTCACAATGAATTATATATGACGAATATTTATAAAATCTCTGATAAAAAAAATCAGAGTATAATAATAACAACGCTTTGGAGTGACGATTAATTTCTATCAAGTTGATTAATTTACTTCCATCAATTCAACTGGAGTATTTACACGAATAAAGAAAGTGTAAAAAGTTCACGGTACTTTTATTTCTTGACCTGTCAATTCAATATTTTCTTCATTTTTTAAAAAAAATTTTTAATCAAAAGAAAGGAAAAGTCTACAAAAAAAGTTTTTCACTAGTATATAAAATTTCTTTAAAATAAAAATGCGCGCAGAAATAAAAAATACGCGTACAAAGAAATTATTTACTACCTAATTAAAAAGAGAAAATTGTTGCTTAATTAACTTTTTCGGAACAAAAAGATTTGAATGTTGATGTTGAACTGTTGCAGTTGAGTGGTTTCCATGACAATCGGCGTTTCCTTGACAACGTCGAGTGTTCGTGGTAATCACAAAAAAATGAAAACAGTGGATTATTAACTCTACAGTGTTTACAATACATTGTTTTGCACAATTATCTATTATTAAATAAAAAAAAATTAATTTACAATTCTTTTAATACAGTGATAATTGTCGTAAATTACTGAGGAATTATTTAATGTTAATTTTTCCAAGTTTTCATGTCTGTTGAAGGTGAATTTTTTATTACTGTAACCGGTGCCATCGAGTTCGCCGAGTTTTATGATGCTGATAATTTATTCTGCAAGTATGAATATCACTATGGTCCAGAGTGGACTGTCGTTGGCGTAAGAAATTTAAATTAATTAATTTTATTTAAAAATACCTATAATAAAATTTATTTTTTAGAGTAAAAAAAAAATTTAATTTAAATTAAATAGTTTTAAAAATAGATATTTTTTTGAAAAATGTATTACTTATGGAAGTATCAAGTCTCTTTTTTTAGAATATTTTCATAAAGTCATTTAATTTAAGGGTGTCGAGGAAGGTTTAACTCAGATGAGTAAATGCAGTAATGATGCTCGACATTTAGCGGTTTGGAACTTCCCTTTGAATATTGCTTTCAAAAGCACAAATCCACACGGATGTAAGTTCATCATTTTCTTAATTAAAGTTATTTTCAAATAAATTAATAAATTACAGTGAAAGAAGTTTGAAATTTAAACTATTTTTGTTAAAAATTGATACGTATATTTTTAATATCGAAACATTTTATTAAATTGAATGAATAAATTGAATCAGTAAATCTATATGAATTATTTTGAAAAATATTTATAATATTTGAAAATAATTTAATTCTTTTGAGGAATTCAATTAAAATTGTATAGGAAACAATTTAATTCTTATAAAGAATTTTATCAAAACATTTGAAAATAATTCAATTGTTTCGAAGAAGTTTATAAACATTTTTAAAAAAAAATTAAATTCTTTAGAGAAATTTTATTAAAATTTTTGAAAATAATTAAAAATATTTGAATTCTTTAAAATATTCGAAAATAATTGAATTGTTTCGGAAAATTTATTAAAATTTGAGAATATACTTGAATTCTTTCGAAAAATTTTAATAATAATTTTAGAAAATAATTGAAACTTTTCGTGAAATTTATTTAAAATTATGTATTGACAAAAATAGAATTGCAGCAAAGAATTTTACTACCTATTTATAAAAATAATAGAATTGTAGCAAAGAATTTTACTATTTATAAAAACAATTGAATTCTTCCGAAGAATGTTATTATTTATGAAAATAATTGAATCAATAAGTTGATTAAATAAATAAATTGAATCAATAAATAAATAAATTTATTTTATATTTTAATTTTGAGAAAATATATTGAGAAATAGTATTTAATATTCATTTTTTATAATAATCACAAGTGGTACAAAAAAAGAGAAAAAATTTACAATAAAAAGATTGAGAAATACTCATTATACTCATTAATAATTTATGGAAAAAGTCCAAAATGCAATCATTAAAAATATTTGGATCAGTGAAGAAATTCTTTTTCTCCCCAACTTGTTATTTCAATTGATTGGCTGTGAAAATTGCTTGCAGGGCCACAATTAATTTTATCGATGTATGGATTGGATCTTTTTGGACACGATGTAACTAGAGGATATGGAGTCTGTCATGTGCCGTTAACTGCGGGTCGACACGATAAAAAGTACGTGAATTTATTTTCACTGTTTCACATTGTCGAAGCATTTAATTGAATTCTTTATTTTATTTTTTGTTCACTTTTTTTTTTGTTTTTGATAGGGTGCCAATTTATGTTGTCGAATCATCTTCAGTTGCTCAGCAATTTTTGGCTTGGTTAACCGGAAGAAGACCGGAATTGATTGATCCTTCGATACTGGCTGGCGGTGATGGTCGTGAATGTAAGAGAATAAATTTTTGTTTCCTTTTTTGCTCTTTAAAAAAGTTCATTTAAAAGGGAGGGAAAAAATTTAGAAACTAGGAATATGACAAGAAAGAAAAGAGGGATTTTTTCAAGTATTCAACACTTTTTTTATGTTTATTTTTTGGAAAATGAAACTTGACGATTTTATATTTGAGATAAAAAGGAAAATTTACAATTTAAGAAATTTCCTTTTGTGGAATATTTCAACCATTCGATGTATGTAAATAAAGAGGAAAAAAGACTTTTTTTTAATTTCAGTGACACGAATGAAAGTTCAAGGATCACTTGCTGTTTCGTTTAACGTCATGTTAAAGGACTTTTTCAAATTGGGTTACGATAATGGTGAAAAGAGAAATAGGTAATAGATGAATTATCACTAACGAATAAATCCAATTTCTTCCTGTATAACATTTTTTTTTAATGTAAAACAAAATAAAATTGTCTAAAAACAAGAAAAGATAAAATGAATCTATTTAGAAATTACTTTTCTACAAATTAAGTAATTTATTTAATACACTGTAACAATTGACTCGATTTACATAAAAGTGGTATCACAGTAGAGTTATAAAAATAACGTAACACTTTTATACCGCTTAATGGAAAAAATACTTATATTGTGATATAATTTCTATAAATATATCTGTTTATAAATCTATTTTTGCCGCAGGACCGCGAATATAATTATTTTCAAGCAAAAATAGAAGAAAATTCATATTATAGTCGTCAACGACTATTATGAAAAACCAGTTTTCATTTTTCTTTTAAGAAGAATTGTATATTCACAAATACCATATTTACCATAAATAGAGACATTCACAATTATTGTCAACTATTCATAATATCGTACGTTAATTAATTGATCTAAAATTAAATATCATATTTCGATCAAAAAGCATTTATCGAAAAAAAATACCTTTTGACGTCGTTAATATTTTAAATTAATAATTATAGGTATGAAATATTTGCTAAAGCATCAAAATTGTCGGCAATTATTTTCTTGAAATGAAATTTAATATAATTTGTAAATAAACTGTTGAGCACATAATTAAAATGATATCAATTGAGCCTCTGAATGTGTGTTATCCGGAAATATTCTGGAAGTACAAGAGAACTAAATTAATTTCTGAACTTTATAAATTGTAAATCAACTCCAAAAATAATAAAACGAAAATATAATCTAATTTTAATAACTATAATTTAGTTTCGTTTTATTATTTTCCATTTTTCTTTTTTAGAATGAGAGATTGATTTTATTTAAATATTGTACGTTTTTTTTCATTAAACGATTAATTACCGTTTAAGCTGGTATCGGTCTACATTTTACATTTGGCACCTTAACATTGTCATCGGAAGTAGCAGTGCAATAAATATCTAATAATTCAAATATAACTCCGTTCGTCCATCCAAAGCCTGATTGAACTACATATTCTCCTCCTCCACCGTAAAATCCGGGTTTAACTGCATCGTACTGAAACGAAAAAAATTTTTTAACATAAAAAATATATCAAAAATACAATAAATTTTATTTATAATTAATATTCTTTTCGTATAAAAAATACTGCCGACTTTCTATATACTATATCTTGAAAAAGAATTTTGAATTTAATCCAAGAAATTTCTGTTTCAACTCCAAGAGATTTTTATCATGAAATTCGTTCACAGGGAAAAATTGCTTTTTTATTAGCAAAATTTCTCTATTGTCAAGAAATTTATTTCGAAATAAAAGATAAAATAGAATTTTTTACAATTCTTAATTTTACAAGAATTTTGTTACAAATTTTTTTTTTCTAAAATGTATCGATTATTCAAATTTTCTGTGAAATTTTTATTTTATCTCTGAAAACTGTCATATTTTTTTTCATTAATCTTAAAAAATTTAAGCAGCACGATTCTCGATTTAATAAAAATTTTTTAATTTATGATTGAACCAATTTTTATTTCACAATCAATCAATGGATTAAAAATTAAATTAAATTCTTATTTTTTTTAAATTATTATAATTGCTTTAAAAAATTAAATTAATTTGATTATTATTTTTTTTAAATTAAACTTTTTGTAAAAAAAATCAACTAAACTATTAAAAAATTATTAATTGCTTTGGTCAAACGATCAATTTTAATTAAGAATTTTACAAAAAACAAGAAAGAAAAAAATAAAAAAAAACACTTATGGATTTCTTCCACTAATTTTCTATAATTTAATGACAATTTTTATCAAATTATTTTTTTCTTAATTTAAATTAATTAAATTGTTTACAAAATTAAATTAATTCGACTATTATTCTTTTAATTAATTTTTCTTTTTAGAAAATATTTCAGAAATTCAAAAAAGAGTTACAGTCGAAATTCGATTGCACTAAAAATAGAATTAAACCATAAATAAATACAAGATTATTTATTACTACTAATATTATAACGAATTGTATACTTAATAAGTTAAGAGAAAAAAAAAGAAAATCTAGATTTATAACGAGCGTACTGAGATTTTTTCTACTTTAATCTCTGTTCTAGTTAGCTCTGAGGTCAATTTAGCAAAAAAAAAAAAAAAAAATCCACTAATTCAAGGGGAAATATATTGCGCTTGATATTTTACTTTTTATCCACTTTTATGAATGAGACAAGAAATTTAAATTTCGCGAAAAAAAAATGTAAATTATAATTTTTTTTCTGCTGTAAATTGTAGTTTGTGTTTTTGACTTTCTATTTTTTTTCTTTTTGCATAAGAAGTGCCATTTACCAAAATTTAATTTGCGACAACTGGTTAGTGGTCATTTCTTCGTCTCCTCGTTTTCGAGCCACTCGAAAACGGATTAACCATCTCGTTTAAAAACGAGCTTAGCGTTGGGTTGTAAAATTGTAAAACGAGTCATAGAGAAAAGTTCATGAGAGTGTCTCAAGTGCCATAGACAGTAAACATCCCACGTTTCGCACTTTTTTATTCTGCCAGTTAGATTCTTTCTTTTTTTTTGTTCCATAAAAACCGAATTTTACAACTTGAAATACATTCAAAATTTTCCAACCATTTTTCAACTCGTTTTGGCAATTTTATATTTTTTCTCCTTTTCGCTTCTTTTCTGGTGATATTTTTTCTAATTTCATATTTTTGTTTTGCTTCACAAATTTGTAATTTCAGTGTAAATAATAATGATAATAGCTCTCTCTCTCTCTCTCTCTCTCTCTCTCTCTCTCTCTCTCTCTCTCTCTCTCTCTCTCTCTCTCTCTCTCTCTCTCTCTCTGATTTTCATGAATCTGATTTAAAAAAAAACAATTTCCGAATAAGTGAAAAGTCTGGAATGAATTTAAGAAATGAAAAATTCTTGTGTGACAAGGCTGTTATATGAATTTTTGCGTTTGCCAAAGAAAGCACACGAGAGTTTAGATTGGAAATGAAGCAACATGAGGAAATTGAGATAAAAATAAATTCTGAAATGCTTTCTAGAGAATCGTATGATTTAATGGTTTGCTTTCTGCAAAAGTAATTCCCTGTGGATATCGTATACACTGAAAGGATGCTATGACTTTTTATGATTTTATCCTCTTAAGATTTTCTCCACGACGATATATAAGTGACCTTTTATTTATTTTCTTTTTTTCCCCCTTTTTTGCAATTCACATATTGAACACTAATTTGTTTCACCTTTTTCTCTCTTTTTTTTTAAAATAAAGATATGGAATTAGAAAAAAATAGATAAAAATCTATAATTAATCGAAATAATTTAAATTAAATTTTCAACAAATTTCTTTTTTGCGAAAATTTCGGAAAATTTATTCCATTAATTTCGATGACAGTTTTTCATCGATGAACATCGATGAATTTATTTGATTTTGAATATGAATGGCGAGTCCAGATGGGTCTCATTATTTCAGATATCCATACTTGCTTTAACACATTCAGGTCTTGTTGAATGGTTGTTGAAAGCTACGACAATGTAGATCGTCATCACTATCATCTCAGTTGAGCAGGCGTTAACAATAAGGGATGATGCACATTATATGCATTGTAGAAGTCAGACATTTAGTCCTCACAATAAACGATAATGACGGTGAAAAATAATTTTTCAATCCCTTTTTTTCGAAAAATTTTTCTACTTCAAATTTTTCTTCTTTTCCAGTAGATGAAAATTATTTCAATTTCTAATTATACTTTTCTCATTTATTTTTTCTCGTAATTTCCGTTTATTTTTCTCATTCTTTCCAAAATGATAAGAAGACAAAAGTTTTCAATTTTTCCAAAGAAAAATGCTTTTTAATGCAAAGCAGTCCACTTGATATTTTTGAGAAATATTTTTTTATTAAAGGCGAAACGACATTTGTCGAATAAATAAAAATGATTGGCAACTTAAGGGAGCTTTTTTCTTCAAGATGCTAAAGTACATTGAATTTCAAAGGACGTGGATATTGATCCGAGAGTCTCGTCTCATATAATTCCCAATGATTCTGCAACTGAAGTGATTGGAGAAATTGAAAAAAAAGAAGTGTGTCTCTTGACAAGAAGGAAAATTCACCGGAGAGTGAAAAATAACATTTCCTCTTATTTGCTTTGTCTTCTATCGCGTGTGCGTATTTTTATTCGAAACTTTGAAAAATACCGAATAAGTACAGCAGTTTCTTTTCTTTTTCTATACTCATCCAGTAATGAACTGTAAACAAAAATAAACAAATAATATTTTTACATTTTCTTTTTGTTAAACTTCTTTTTTTAACTAAATCTGAAAAATAAATGCACTTTTTCGAAATTCGAACAACGTTGGGAAAAAAATTTCAAAAATTGTTCTCCTTCAAGTTTTTTTTTGGATCAATATGAAAAATTATGATCTTAATTGGAGAAAAAAGAGGTCTTTTATTTATACGTCTGTTATTGTTTCGAGAGGCGAAACTAGAGGAAAGAGTGAACTAAAAGATTGAAGGATGTAAAAAGAGGTCTTTCCGTCAGAACGGAAGCTGACAAATTGCCGGAACCTTTAACTTCGGAAAAAAACGTCTTCTCTACTTAATTAATCGAATTTATTTCCCATCATTTATCATTAAAATTCTATCCGCATTTTCATAGGAAAATTATTACACATATTCCTTCGAGAAATTAAAAACCGTTTTTGTTTTAATTTTATTTACTATTCAGACATTTATTTTACTTATTTATTTATTTTTTTATTTAATTTTTAATTTTTTTATTTACGAAATATTAGAAAAACGTCTCAATTAGAAAATTTCTTGTCTCATTAATATTTTGTTTTCACCTCCAATTGAGAATAAAAAAAAGGATAAAATATTATTATTAATTATCATGTGAAAATGTTTGCTTTGATTTATTAAAGTTTGACAGTTAAGAAATTCGTTAATTAAACTAGAAGTATCAAAGTTTAATAGCGTAAAATTGTTCGTCTTTCATTAAAACTTTCTTGCAGTCTCTGATCTTATGATTAACGAAGATCTGATTTTGAATTACGAATACTGAAAATACTTGAGTTCGTATAACTTGATATATAAGTTCATATAAATACCTTTTCAAACATTTCATTAAATTCGTTGAAACCAATATGATTAGATCTCAGCCATCTAGTTGCAAGCTCTTTAGATAAAGTTACAGCCGGCTCATAATTCGTTAAATAAAGTCCAACAATTACCATCGATTGCAATGGTGCCCAAGCATTTGGAAAATCCCATTGCTCACCAGTGTCATCCAACGATGTGGGAATTCCACCTAAAAAAAATTATAATTCATTTTAATGACTACATTTGAATTGGAAAATAATTTTCTCATCCAGCGAGAAAAAAACGAAGTATTGAATAAATAAAAATCTTTATTGAATAAAAGTTAGGAAAAAGTAAAAGAAGAATAGAAATTTGATTTGTATTATTTTTTGAAAATCGGGTATTCTCTCCATAGATATTATCCTATTAAACTACATTACATATATTATCACGCCCTTTTACAAAAAGCAAGCTTGTGTATTAAATGTCAATAAATTTTACACTCTAGTAAGTTAGAAACTCAATTTTCCCCGATATTGTAAACTAGAATCAATCCTTAAATTCAGTTAACTTACTCTAATGTGAGATTTATTAAAAATTTTCTATTCTCTACAATGAGTTGAAAAGCTCCTTTAAAAAAGTTATTGCCATATAAACGAATAATAAAGATTTCTCCAAAAAGAATTATTTTATTAAAAAGAAAATTGCTTTCCTTTATTGAGTTTATGATTTTTGCTTTTGCCATCGTCTCTTTGTAATTTTATATTGAAAGCAAATATTGGAAATGCAATAAAGTTATAGCCAGAACAATTCTATTGCAAATATTTATCAAAAATAAATTTCAACTACAATTCATCTTAACCAAAAAGAAGAATTCTGCATAACAAAAATTTCTAAATCCAAGTAGAAAAAAGAAATTTATAAATATTATGGAAATTAGATTTTAAATTGAAAACAATTAAGAAAATATTGTTTTTTAATATTAAAAAAGATGGGAGTTCAATAAAATGTTAAGTTTCAAACTATTTATCCGAAGAATTTATGTTAGTTCTTGAGAAGTTTTATATAAAAGCACAAGATCAATGTATCCGTTCTTTTGAAAATCTCTTACTACGTTCTGGATGAAAGGAGACACCTACTTGGAGCCATGTGATTTTTACGATCAACAGAAATGGTCCATTCAATTCAGAGTTTGAAAAAAAGACACTTTTCGACTTAAAATGCTTATTTTCGACACTTACGATAAATTGCTTTTTGAGAATTAATTAATACAACTAATTTACACAAAAAATTTTTTCAATTGATAAAAAATCCTAATTTTTAAGATTATTATTATTACTGCCAGAAAATCTTTCACTCGAAGAATTCAATTATTTTCATAAATAGTCAAATTTTTCACAAAAATTACATTATTTTTAGAAATAAAAAAATTATTTTCAGGAATTCAATTATTTTCAAAATTTTCAATTATTAATAAACACAATTATTTTCAAAACTTGAAAAGAAATTCTTCATAAACTTTAATTACTTTCATAATTTTTAAAGAAACTCCATTATTTTTAAAAAATTCAATGAAATTCTTCAAATGAATTTATTTTCAAAAATTTTAATAAAATTCTTCGCAAGACTTAAATATTATGTTCAAGTTTTTTGAAAAAATTCTTCGAAGGAATTCAATTATTGTAAAATTTTTTTTAAATAAAATTCTTTGTAAGAATTTAATGATTTTCAATGCATTAATTTAAAAATTAAAAAAATAAAGAAAGAAAAATTATCATTAAAAGTTAGGAAACAAAAAATAAACAATTAACTTTAAACTCTGAACACATTTCCTAAAATATTAATAAATCCTTCGAAAAAATTCAATTATTTTTATAAATAGTAAAATTCTACGCAAGAATTCAATTAATTTTATAAATAGTAAAATTCAATTATGTTCTAAACAATTTCAATTGAATTCCTCGGATGAATTCAAATATTTTAAAATATTTCCATAAATTTCAATTATTTCCAAAAATTTTAATAATTTCTTCGAAACAATTCAACTATTTTTTAAAATTCTTTGCAGCAATTAAATAATTTTTAATCTAATTTAAATAAAATTACACGATAGAATTTAATTATAATTGCAAAAATTTCTATAAAATTCAATTTCAACAAGAATTTAAAATTTCCTAAAATTAATTCAATTATTCTCAAAATATTTTTAAAAAATTCTATATAAAAATTAAATTACTTTCAATATAATTTTGAAATATATTCGTCAAAAAAAATTGAAAGAATTCAATTATTTTCGAAACAACTTTAATTGAATTTCTCGAAAAAATTTCATTATTTTTAAATATTTCTATAAAATTCTTCATAACAATTTAATTATTTCTTAAAATTTTAATAAATTCTACGAAACATTTCAATTATTTTTATAAATTTTTATAAATAGTAAAATCCTTTGCAGAAATTCAATACTTTTTTAAACAATTTTAATAGAATTCCTCGAAAGAATTTAAATTTTCAAATATTAACATAAAATTCATTTATTTTCTAAAATTTTAATAAATTCTTCGGAACATTTCAATTATTTTTATAAATAGTAAAATTCTTCGCAAGAATTCAATTATTTTCAATACAATTTTAATAAAATTCTTTTGCTTTCAAAATTTTCAATTAAAATTATTGAAGAAACTCCATTAGTTTAAAAAAAATTCAAAGAAATGTTTCAATAGAATTTAATTAGGATTTTTAAAAATTTAAATAAAATTCTTCACGAAAATTCAGTTATTTTCCTAAATAATAAAATTCTTTGAAGGAATTCAATTATTATAAAATTTTTTGATAAAATTCTTTGCAAAAAATCGATGACTTTCAATACGTATTAATTTGAAAGTTGAAAATATTTGAAAAGAAAAATTATAAAAAAGTTAAGAAACAAAAAAGCAAACAACTAATTTCAAACTGCGAACAGATTACCGGTGTACTTTATTATTATTAATAATTAATAATTATCTATTATTTATTATAAAAAAAAAATACAAAATTTCTGAAGTATTGATAATTTTTATTCTCAATGGAATAAAATATTGTTATTCTTTTATATATCAATGTCTACACATTTAGTGACGATAATGATAATAATCTGTGAATCGTGAGAGGATCTCAAACAAAGGAATTACACTCTTTCCTAGATTATATAATATACGTAGTCGTACGTCTATGTGCGGTTAATTGAAAATGGGTTCTTGAGAATATGCATGGGTCAACAAAAATTAATATTAGTGTCAACACGTGCGAAACTCATTGCCAGAATATGATTCCTTTGCACGAAACTGCAATCAAATTTTTAATATAACCAAATATTTTCGAATTTTCCCTGTTGCTTGTTTGCAAAATTCGGGGAAAAACAAACAAAAACAAGAAAACAATTCTTCTTAGAATATTTTGTTTTTAATTTTTCTTTTCTCAATTTTTAATGAATTTTCCTTTGTTTCTAATTTTGAAATACGTGGGAAAATACTGACCTAAAAAGCTAGTGATGTTCTTGGTTTTGATATAATTTAGAGTTCTTTTAGCGTACATCACTCTATTTTCAATATTGTAACTCCTTGTGTACAATGGAGCGAAATTCGACGGATAAAATATATTCCTCTGCCTTTTGTGTAGCATATCGTAATCGTACCATATTCCATCTTTTTCATTCCACAAAAGTGTTTGTATTCCAACTTGATATCTCATAGCTATTTGCTGATAATAACGTGATTTCTGCAAAAGAATACAAAATATTTTAGTAACTTTAGAATAAATTTCCAAATAAATTGTTAAATTTATTTATATTCTAAACTATCAATTTCTAAATTAATAATTTAATATTTAAATAATATCGATAATTTAAATAATAATTATCGGTGATTTTTTTCTTCAAAACTAAATTTCACTTTCGTATTCAAAAAAAAAAAAAAAAAAAATTGTAATAAAAGTAATTTTATTTTCCCGCTTATTAAAAATGAAAAAAAGACGTCACGAAAATAAATAAAATTCTTTCAATGTTTAATTTCAACTCGATGAAATTGTAAATTTCTTTAGTCAGTAATTTACTACACGGCGATAATTGGTCAATAAAATTGTTCTCCTCTTTTTAATTGGCTTTTATGTGTTCACACTATTATTAGGGGGTCAGATTAATTCTTAATAAATCGAGAAATTTGCAAAATAAAAAATTTTCTCCCATCTTGTTTTTAAATATTGATTTTGAAAATTAAATTAATCGTACAATTTCATTTTAACAAGAACCATCTCTTATTATCTACTGGGATTTTATAAATGTGAATTTTCCACTGTATTCAAAGTGAATAATGTAAAAGAATATTGGTCTAGTTTCGTAAATTGAAAAACGAATCTGATGAAATGAAATTACATTGAAAACATGATATTTGCATGTAATTGATCAACTATATACGTTTTATCATTACCACATTTGAATGCGATGTATACTCTAAAAGTTTTGTTTTCATTACAATGATAATGACCGTTTCTCGAGGGAATTAAATTAATTGGGAATCTATAACAGTGGAATGTTTTTGTAAAATAAAATTGTCTGACAAATGAATTAAATTACGAAAAGAAGAGATATTTATTCTAATTAAATAGCGAAATAAAAAATTTTTAAAATTTTAATTTTTAATAAATTTACAATTTATATTAATTTTATAAGAAATAATACTTTTTTAATTTAAAAAAAAATGAAATAAATAAAGCAGATAATTTATTTCATTTATTTCGATTTGTCGAATATTTTCGCAAACTTTGGCTAAATTCGAAAACTTAAAAAATATATTCAAAACCAATTTCGTAAATAAAAGTGGAAGCGCGTAAAACAATAAATTTAATCGTCAGAGTATAGGAAAAAAAGCCATTTCAAAGTTAACGAGCGCTTTGGAAAATCGTAAGATAAAATGGTTTTTAAATTAGTAACATTTTTTTCACTTACTTTTAAGAAAATAAAATCATGCCTACAGTGTTGGCGAGTAAATATAGCCAAGGAAAAAAATTAAAAGAATTCTAAGTTTTCTATGATAAAAATTTATAAATAAATATTTCTCTGTAAAATCGTAAAGTTAAATATCAAACTTCTACATTTTTTTTTATTTTCATTCGCAGTATATATGTAAATGACTCAAAAAGGAAAGAATTCAATTTCTATCAATCTTAAGATTGTGTTTGCCTTTAAGGAGTTATTGAATTTTTCTAGAGTTGCAGGCAATTTGGATTAATTCCAAAAAGGCATGCTCAAACGTTTTTCATATAAATCGCGTAAATTTCAAAACTTTTGACATTGACTTACTTCCCAACACAATGGAGTGCAAATAAAACTGTCCACAGGGAATTTGTGACTGAGTACAAAAACTTGTTAGTTATCTCAAACTCTAGAATTGCTTAATTATGGAAATGCAATAGAAATAAAGAATAGAAAAAAATTGTTTAGATGATTTATTTTTAAAAAATTATTTCCAATTTTTAGTTATCTTGAAATTTTAAGAATTTCACTCACTGAAAATTTAACCGATAGAGAAAAAATTCTGTTAGAAAATGATCAAATCTAGAGAATTTTGATAAAAATGAATTTAAAAATGAATTCAGAAATTATTTCAAATTAATTTCAAAATAATTTCAAAATATTTACAAAATAATTTCGATTTTATTTGATTTTCAAAATTGATAGTGAAATTAATAGGATTCGTTATTTTTTTAAGGGAATATTGAAAATTTACGATATACTCACTACGAAATTTCCAAATTTAGCGTGAAATTTACTGAGACGTTTGGCATTACGTTGAAGATACGCATTGAGATCGACGGGAATAATATATTTTGTGGCAATATTTGAAATATTGCGCCGGGCACTTTGACCCAAATTTGAAGAGGAGACAAACCAACGAGCTGAAAAGTCCCAACCACTCTCAGCGCCAGCTTTTAAATTTTCGTACAATTCTTTTTTATCCTCCTTCCTGGTTAGATTTCTGGCCAATTTGTAATCCTCTCTATAAAAATGGACGTTTTTTGTGAAAAAAATTACATTTTCTAAATTAGAAAATAAAATTAAATCCAATAATTAGATTAAAATAAAATTCAATATTCTAAATTTATAAATTGAGTTCAAATAAAATCAAATTTTCAAAATTTAAAAATCACATTAAACTGAAATCAAAATAAAATTAAATATTCTAAATTAAAAAATTGAGTTAAATTAAAATCAAATTTTCAAAATTTAAGAATTACGTTAAATTAAGAAACAAATTAAAATTAAATTTTCTAAATTAAAAAATTGTGTTAAAATAAAAAAAAAATTTTCAAAAGTAAAAAATTACGTTAAATTTTGAAATCAAAATAAAATAAAATATTCTAAATTAAAAAATTGAGTTAAATTAAAATCAAATTTAAAAAATTTAAAAATTATGAGTTTAATTAAGAAACAAATTAAAATTAAATTTTCTAAATTAAAAAATTGTGTTAAAATAAAAAAAAAATTTTCAAAAGTAAAAAATTACGTTAAATTGAAATTAAAATAAAATAAAATATTCTAAATTAAAAAATTGAGTTAAATTAAAATAAAATTTTTAAAATTTAAAAATTACGTTAAATTAAGAAACAAATTAAAACCAAATTTTCTAAATTAAAAAATTGACTTAAAATAAGATGGCATTTTCAAAAATAAAAAATTAGGTTAAATTGAAATCAAATTAAAATTAAATTTTTATAAATATAAAAAATTGTGTTAGAATAAAATAAAATTTTCAAAATCCAAAAATTACGTTAAATTAAGAAAAAAATTAAAATTAATTTTTCTAATTAAAAAAATTGAGTTAAAATAAGCTGAAATTGTCAATAGCGTCAATAGTAAAAAATTACGTTAAATTGAAATCAAATTAAAATTGAATTTTTATAAATAAAAAATTGAGTTAAATTAAAATCCGATTTTCGAAATTATAAAATTGCATTAAATTGAAAAGTAAATTAAAATTAAATTTTCTTAAAAAAATGGAGTTAAATTAAAAATTAAAATTTTCTTTCTCAATTTAAAAAATTTATATTTAAAACTTTAAGTTATCTTAAGAAAATTCTGTAAAATAAAATAGTTCGTTAGTTTTGATTTTTTAGTTTTTAAAAAACATTTTACTTAATTTTAAGAACAAAACTGAAACAAATGAAATAGGAATACGAATTGTTAATTTTGTTAATACTAATAATAAATACCGATAACTTTCGGGCCTTGGTCCTTCATCTTCGACGTAATATCTAGCCATTACGTAATTTTTTCCTTTGAAGGGAACATTTACAGTTTTCTTCTTCTCCCAATATTCGAATTCTCTATCCAGAGATGGAAGAATTTCTTCAACAAATTTATAGTCCTGAGTGACGTCGACGTAAGTTTGTACCTAAAAAATAATTTTCCATTTAGAAATTCAATTCTAATTCAATTCTAATCTTAAATTCTAATAATTACTTTAAAAAAAATAAAGAACAGAAAAATTCCCTTTTTTCGTAAATTTCTCTTTTGCCACTCTATCCATAATCTTATATTAATGAAATATTTCCGATAATACCTTTTTTTCTACGACTTAAATCAAATGATATAGCCATCGAGATAAAGTTACATATCTAAACAAATAAAATGAATTTATTCACATAGATTTCTACGAATCATCGTGATACGATGGTAAAAAATGAGGAAAATCAATATTAAATTGTAAAAAAAATGTTTTCTATTCTTTTTTTTTATTATTTTACCGGTTTAAACTGGTGAAACAGTGCGGATTAAAATACGACGATAAATGAAATAAGTGAGGAATAATAAACATAATAATTGTCGTGAAACCTGACGCGAAAACAAAGAAGAATTTTTCGCCAAGCTCTTTGTACGCGATACTCTAAAATTACCTACAATTGTTGAAACTTATGTTACGCTTCCTCTTTATCCCAAGGCGCCACAAAAGCTCGATTCTGAGAAAATGATAATGTACCACCGAGTCAGGTACTTTAAAGTTTTCATTTTTTGAAACTTTATTTTCTCCATGTGTATATATATTGTACGATCCGACGAGAATATCTTGTTGAGGTTTGATGGTCACTCTTATTCAAAAGAAAGTTATATACATGGCACTTTGAATTGGAAATAGAAAATTGAATTTCATATTTGATTACTTTTGCAATAGAGACAAAAATACAAAAAGAGATAAAAATTCCTTTTTTTTGGAACAAAAATTTCTGTTTTTGAATTTGAATTCTATTGATTATCTATAGCAGAAATTCTGCTATTTGGATACTTTTATTCCTATTATAGAAGAAACAGGAAACAAAATGAAAAAGCCCTTTTAGAAATTTGGAGAAAAAACGAAAACCACTTTTGATGTGTTTTTCCTGTCGAACCGAATCGTTTTTAAGTACCTGTAGTCTTGAAATGAAAATTGAAGGGTGCCTCCCTTGAGTACAACTTCATCATCCCAAGTACATATTATACGATTCAGTTCTGAGATAACCAATCATTTATTTTCCCATGGGAATACAAAGAGTAAATTCCGAAGTCACAATAAATAAGGGATGAAATCGTTTTCATTTTCCTTTTAAAACGATTTTTTTTCTAATTCAATACTTTGAATTTAAATTAGTTTTTGCAAATTTATATCAATTAAAAAAATGGAATAAAAATAACAGGGTTGCTACAAAAATTTAATTTTCTTTTTCCCAGACTTTTCCCTGATTTCAAGACCAAAATTTTGACTTTTACTCTAAAGAATATTCTGATTCACTCTAAAATTGATTATAGATAGGTACTCAAAAAAATGTAACTTCTCCAAAATTCAATTATTATCTAAAACTTTAACTAAAATTAATTTTTAAATAAATTTTCATTAGAAAATTCTACGAGAATACAATTATTTAAATACAAACATAAATAATTTATTAATTGAATGTTTCTTCAAAAAACCAAATTTTTAAATAATTGAATTCTTTAGGCGAATATTAATAAAATATTTAAGAATAATTGAATTCTCTAAATTATTATTATTAGTATTAAAAATAATTGAATTTCTGTGATGAGTTTTATTGTTTATGGAAAAAATTAAATTCCTATAAATAATTTTATTATTTAAGAAAATTATTGAATCCCTGAAAATAATTTTAGTATTTAGGAAAATAATTTTATTATTGCGAAGAATTTTATAAAAAAGTTTAAACAATTGATTTTTTTCGAAAATATTTATGCAAATTCTATTTTAAATAATTGAATTCCTGTGAAATTTTCATTATTTTAGAAAATAATTGAATTTTATTATTTCTGAAAGTAATTAAAATTTTTACACGAATTCTATTTAAAATTTTAAAAATAATTAAATATTAGAGCAGAATTTAACAACTTATAAAGATAATTCAAATCGTAACAAGAATTTAAACAAAATTTTTGAAAATAAATAAATTTCTGCAAAGAATTATATTACTTTTGAAAATAATTTTATTATTTATAAATTATATTATATTATAATTATACAAATTATTGAATTAGGTAAAATTTTTGAAAATATTTGAAATGTTGACAATTATATTTAGATTTTTTAAAAATAATTGAATTTTTGTGATGACTATTGTTATTTATAAAAATAATAATTGACTTCCTCCAAATGATTTTTTATTTATGAAAATAATTAAATCTCTGGAAGGAATTTTAAAATTTATGAAAATAATTGAAATACTGCGAAGAATTTAATGCCAAATTTAAAAAACATTTGATTTTTACGAAAAACTTTATGCAAATTCTATTTTAAATAATTGAATTTCTGCGAACAATTTTATTACTTTTGAAAATAATTGAATTTTTGTAACGGATAGTTTTTTATGAAAATAATTGAAGTTTGCAATGAATTTTATTAAAATCCCTATAAATAATTGAATTTTTATATTCATTTATAAAAATAATTGAAATGTTGACAATTTTTTTTAGACTTTTTAAAAATAATTGAATTCTTGTAATGAATATTGTTATTTATGAAAAAAATTGAATTTTTCAATGAATTTTATTATAATTCCTGAAAATTGAAAAATTAATCAAATTCGTGTTAATTTCATAATTTATGAGGCAAACAAAAAGACACAAAAATTGAAAATTTTCTTATAAATTCTAAACATTTAATTTTTTTCAGTACTTTTGATAAAAATCCCTGACTTTTCCCCGATTCCCCTGACCTGTGGCATTTCTGAATAAATAAAAAAATAGAAATAGACAATAAAGAAATAAAAATAGAAAAATAAAGAAATGAAAATAGAATAAGAAAATATAAAGATAAAAGTAGAAAAATAGAAATTGAAAATAAAAAATAAGAGCAGAAAATGAGAAACAAAATAGAAATAGAAAAATAGAGGTTAGAATAAATTTAGTAACAAAAATAAAATAATAAACGAATTCTTACCATATATGTCAATAATGGAGGTTGACTTCTCATTAAATAATAAACTCTTCCTCCATTTGGAATGAATCCATAATTATCGACGAAACTGACGAAATTTTTTATCATTCCCTTCGCAGTACTATACATATTGCTGAGAAGTAGACCCTTGATGATCCAATAGCTGTCCCAGTAATAAAATTCTAATTCACGAAAACACAAATTTAATTTTACTATTTTTATACGAAATATTTGCACAATTAATTAAATCTTTTAAAGTATAATTGAAAAAGTTCATTTATTATAAAATTTCAACATTAAAGCAAACCTTTGAAACGTCCTCCAGGAATGATGAATCCATTTTCAACGGGAATTAAACTATGTCTATTGGGATGAAGAGCCACTTCTGGTTTTATTTTTCTTGCCAATATTTTCCACAGGTCATTCAAATTTTTTGCAAATATTTTAAATTTTGGATCCTGAATATGGGATAAAATTGGTGGATACTTGTTCCAGTCTGGTGGAATCCATTCTTCTAATTCAGTTTGATTTGTAAAAGCGTCCGAAATAAAGACTTCTAATTCGCTCTTCGTTGGTTTTCTATTTGTCCTCGTCATTAAGTCTTCAAATCTTTTAGGAGAAAATTATACGAATTTGTTCAAAAATTTGCTTTTTTAATTAATTGAAAATATAAATAAGAAAAATGTAATTAAATATAATGTAATTAATATAATATAATTAAATATTTAAAATTTTTAAATACGATTAAGTGAGTAAATTACAAAAATCTCATGAATTGAAAGAGATTAATTAAATATTTAATTAAAAGATTAATTATTTTTATTTTAATTGAAGGAATTAAATTATTTAAAAGTGTAAATTAAGCTTGCAATTACTTTCTCAACGTCACATCGGGATCGTTTCTTTGAACTAAATCAACAAAAGTTTTACTGTCTGGATAAATGTTTGATAATTGAATGGTTTCCAGTAATTCTCCAGTGCAGTAAATTTGACTGAAATGAAAGAAACATATTTAAGTAGAGTTAATTTATTTCTGGTGTGAGTAATTAGTGTAATTATTATTAAAGAATTATGAAAATCGAAATACAAAACAGTGTAGTAATTAAACAACTTAAAACAAATGATTGTTTTAAGTTGTTTGTTAAAAAGCGTTTGCGTCAAACGTAACAATTAGAAAATAAAAATGTTTACTTTTAAATGTGACGTATTCCATAACCTCAAATTCGGCATTGTTATGATTTTACGACATTAATAATCAAATCACCTGCTAATACTATTCTGCACCTGATTCAAAGCATTAATTTCAATAAAAGTTCGATTAAAAAAAATAATTATTAACCACAATGGAATTGATTCTTTTTATCTTTCTTGCAATTAAAATCTTGTCTTCTTGTTATAAACAATCTTTCTCCATTTTGAAATAATCGATATTCTACCAATTCTCCATTAAATATTGATTGGAAATACATTGCAGCGCCACCACTGTTAGAGAAGCACTGAAAGGTGTCAAGAAAAGCGGACAATATTTATGTTGCAGCTCCACCAATCAGCGCGCTGGATTTCGGCGATGAGAGCCCGCACCAATCAGCGCGAGGGAGCTGAACGCTGCAGTCGGGCGCCACACGTAAATACGGCCGAGTTTGCAGCGCACGCTCAGTCCGATTTGGGAAGCTCTTGAGGCAACATCTGCGTCGCTTGAAGAAATTTTTTTTACCGACTTTCCAACATCATTACTATCAATTTCTTACGCATTTCTACAGTAATGTAAGGAATTTTCATTTCCAGCATCGAAATGAAAGGAGATGTGAAATATAGAATCGAACATTTAGTCAATACAGGTAAATGCAAGCAATTTTAATTATTTGCATTTTTTTGATATTCAAGGTTGATAGTAGACGTCAAAATGATTTAATTAGTAGTAATCAGTAATAAATGTTGACAATTAGTAATGATATTATTATTAATAATGTAATTATTAGTTAATGTAAACTCTATACTCGTGTAATGAAGGAAAGCTTTGTTAAATGTATGTAATAATTGTAAAAATTATTAAAAATATCCGTGTTGGTAATTTCTGTTACAGATTCATCATATACAGTGTGACTACAGCGATGAGAGCTCGCACCAATCAGCGCGCTGGATTTCTGCCACGTGACCCGGGAGCTGCACGTAAATAGCAGCGGGTTTGCAGCGCACGCTCAGTGTGCTTTGGGAAGCTCTGGAAGCAACAACTGCGGCGCCTGGTGAAATTTTTTAAGCTTTTTTTCCACTACTAATGCCTGGCGCTGTTCTACACTGACGTGAGGGATTACCGGATTACCAGCAACATGAAGCAAGAGAACAGGGAGAATTAACTGATGTGAAAGTCAATGCAGGTAAGCATCTACAATGTCAGTACAAATGCAGATGTAAGCATGTAGAATGTTATTTACATGCTCTTGTGAATACTAAAGCGCCATAGTTGAATATTAAACTGGCAATAGTAAAGTAACGTAATTGAAATACATTGCGAGTCGAGACCAATCATTGCATAGTATTTCAACATGCCAGTCGGTGCAGCAAATATCGCCTTATACTTCTAGCGATATCTAGAAGAATTTGTAAAAGAGACATTGAGCTACCCGTACTTTTTTTGTCATGCCTGGCGCTACTTAACAGTGACATGAAGGAAAACAAACAAAAAGATAAATTAGGGAAATTAAAAGACAATGTAGGTAAACATATGTGAACAATTTTTTTCACATTCATGATTAATTGAAGTTACTAATCATTTAAAAAATACTTTATTTATTTTTTAAACGATTTTAACCTAAAAATATTTCTTAATTGTAAACGTTACAAACTTTAGAAACTTTGAAATATTTTCGATTATTTTTTAAATTATAACCTAAAACCTCTTTCAATATTACAATCTTTCGTATATTTTTCATCGAAATTACATTCGATTTCAACATTTATTAAGATTTAACTGGGCAATGGAGATTTTATTCCTAGCTTTGCAGTAATATTACTTTTTTTCTACAAAAGGAGTGATTGCTAGTGGAAGGGTTAAAGGACAAATCGCAAGTTTGTTTAATTATTATTTTTTTTTCATTAATTCTCCAAACGAAGTTATTGGAAATTTTGTCGCGACACGAATGTTTAGAAAGATCTTGCTAGCAAATTAAATATTTTCTTTTTTTATTTTAAATATTTTCTTCTCAAGATTTAAATCAACTGATCGACCTAACCTAAAATTTCTTTATTACGGATTTTTTTTTAAACGAACTTTCACAAAAAAAATTTTATGCATATTTAATGAATATTTTTAAAATATTCTATTTTATCGATTCAAGTAAAATAAAGTAGATTAACAAAAAGAAATTTTAATTTAATAAAGTGTAGTTTACAAAATTAATTAATTAATTTACAAATTTATTAATGTATTTAAATAATTTAATTTGTAGTAGAATTTTCTAATAAAAATTGATTTAAAAATGAATTTCAGTTAAAACTTTTAAATAATAATTGAGTAGTAAAAGCAATATAGCTCGAATAATTAGAAATAATTGAATTTTGGAAATGAATTTTTTTGCAAAAGTTTAATTGAATTTTTTGTATTATTTTAAGTTTTTATTTTATATTTTCTAATATAGGTATATTTAATTGAAGAATTTACGAATAATTGAAATTTCGTAAAATTGAATATTGTAAAGAAATGGATTTGAAAACTGGTTCGAACCCTACAAGATAGATTTTTCTACTTTTTTTGGTTTTCAATTATTAAAATTTAAAGATTAATGCGCAAGTGAAATATAAAAGTTAAACTTTGTTGATAAATTCATAACATTGAATTGAAGGTATTTTTTTTACAATTTTAAGCTCAGGTGACGGATGCGTCCCGGGACGTATGTGAGCCTAACGTGCCACTCAAATCCCTAGATTTGCACCTGAGCTGTGTGTAAGAGACGAGTTTGTGTTTTTTTACAAAAAAAAGTAGGTTTGAAGTATGGGAATTTAGGTAGGAATAGCTTTTTTGTACGACTGTGATAAATTTCGTATTAAATGTTACCGTAGGTAGGAAATTCGGAAATTTTTTGTAAGTGTTTCTCAACTGGAGTATACTAGTAAAATAGTAAAATACTGGTAATTACTTTCCTCATCATTTTCATATATTTACGTCACTTTGTTGTTTAATATTTTTTACTTTTATGACTTGAATTTTATTAAATATTTTCTATATATATATTTTTTTTATATTTAATTATTATTATTATTATTATTATTATTTTATTATTTTTATTTCTTTATATCTTTTATATATATATATATATATATATATATATATTTAATTTTTTTCTATATATATATTTTCTAATATTTTTTTTTTTATTTAATAAAATTTAATTAACGTTACACTGAAAAATATCAGTTTCTATATTTTAAACAAAAATATGAAACTTGAATACAAAGGTTAATTAATTTATATTTCAGTTGTTTGTCCAATTCTTTGTTGATAAAATCTTTCGCAAATAAAATGTAATAAAATTGAAAGTTCCATTTTGGTTCGAAAAGTAAAACGTATGAATTTCCACCAGATATAACTACATTTTTTTCAGTGTAAAGAACTTATATTTTCCATTTAAATTATTTTGATTTCATCTTGACAATATTTGTGTAAATTGAGTTTTATTATTTTCATGATAGAATATTTTTTTACTCAAAATAATAAAATTAATATTTATCATCTATATTGTCAGAAAAATATTTAAGAAAATCTTATTTTTATGAGAAATGATTAAATTAAATCATAATATTTTACTGTCTTGAATTGAAAGCAAACATGTTTTTATGACTTATTTAATTAGACATTTTTCTGAATAATATAAGATTTTCATTTTACTGTACAGATATTTTTTTATCAAGCACAAAAGAAAAATTAATTTGTTTTTTTAAATTAAAAGCTCTGTAATGATGAAAAAAAATATATATACTGAAATTTAAATGGAAAATATATTGAAAAAAAGAAATAGGGATTGTTTCTGTTTTCTTATCTTTGTTCTTAAGTTTCACTCAGACGAGCTAACAACTCGGGAAATTATTTTTAATTAACTCTCGCTTCTAATTGAATAACTCGAGAATTTTAACGAGTAAAATATATATATTTTTTCAAAAGTTATACAATAATTTGCTTACTGAAAATTTACGTTGGAAATCATTTTTTAAATTACATTTCTATTGAACTACTATTTTTAAATTAGCGAAGTTTTTTTTACTAATTCTTAGTAATTTTAGTTATTTAATTATAATTTTTTATTATAATTTAGTTAAAGAATTTTAAAGTACTAAAACGAAATAGTAAAGTTTTAGTACTCTCTAAATTTAAATTAGTAAAAATGTTTAGGTAATAATTTTAATTAGAGACAGACTTTTTGCTTTTGAATTAGTAAAATTTACTATAATAAATAGAAAATTTTATAAAATCAATCAAATATTATAATTTATATTTCCACTGATATATTAATAAAATTTACTAATATATTAGTGGAAATTACTATTTATTAGTTCAAATTAGTAAAAATTTTTACTAATTCAGAGAGTAGTAGTAAATTAGATTAATTCGAAGTAGTGATCGACTTTTTACTAATTGAAATTTAGAGAGTAATTTATTAGGTATTTAAAACTTTTTAATTAGGTACAATTATAATTAAAACTAAAAATTAATTTAAAAATGAAAAAAACATAAAAATGTTTTTATTTTATGTTTTAAAACATAAAACTTTAACAACTTTTTATATATTTTCGGATATATCGAGTATATATAGATCGTTGAATTCTGAGAGTTTTCCGTTATATAATTATTTATCGATTTAATATTGGATCAAAATGAACAAATAAATTCTCGTAGATAAAATATATCGTATTTTTATCGTTGACTTTCATAGTTCCTTGGTCTCAATTGAATGCTTTTATGGGAGAAAAAGGTATACTTAAGTAGCTTTTTTGTTCCAAA